AAAAGAAGAGAGAGTCCTAAAGGTTGTTGGGGCAACTGAGCTGGGACCTCTTCAGGTTTTCGCATTTACATTAGGTATGAATATGTGTATGATGCTTATCACTTATCACAATCAAACTTCTTTATTGTTCAAACCCTGTATTTTAATTTATAAAACATAATGATTTGCAGGTACTAGTTTCGGTTTCTTGGCCGTCATAACTGCAATGGCTGTGCTATTATACAGCATCAAGAAACGAAAGCTCATGAAACTAAAAGAAAAATTCTTCCACCAAAACGGCGGCTTCCTCCTCAAACAACAACTCTCCTCAAACGAGAACAGTATGAAATCAGCCAAGATCTTCACATCCGAAGAACTCGAAAAGGCCACCAACAACTACGCAGAAGATCGAATCCTAGGCCGCGGTGGCTACGGGATTGTCTACAAAGGAATATTCCCCGACCAACAAGTTGTCGCAATCAAAAAATCCCGCGTTATGGATCAAACTCAAATCGAACAGTTCATCAACGAGATGGTAATATTGACTCAAGTCAACCACCGCAACGTAGTCAAACTCCTAGGATGTTGTCTTGAAACCGAAGTTCCTTTATTGGTGTATGAGTATGTCTCCAACGGCACACTCTTCCACCACATCCACCACAGTGGGAACAAGCCTTGGTTTTCATGGGACAGCCGTTTGAGAATTCTGACAGAGGCTGCCGGTGCATTAGCATATCTCCATTCATCAGCCGAAAAGCCAGTCATACACAGAGACATCAAATCTCCAAACATACTATTGGACGAACAATACACCGCCAAGATTGCAGATTTCGGAGCTTCGAGATTGGTTGCCATTGACCAGACAATGATCTCCACTCTAGTCCAAGGAACACTAGGTTACTTGGACCCTGAGTACTTCCACACGAGCCAGCTCACGGAAAAAAGTGATGTCTACAGTTTCGGAGTGGTTATTGCTGAGATGATGACTGGGCGAAAGCCACTATCGAACACGGAAAACGATAAAGAAAAAAGTCTTGCCACTTTTTTCGTCATGTCGGTGAAAGAGGACCGTTTGTTCCAGGTTGTGGACCCGCGTGTGATGAGAGAAGGGAGTATTGAGCAAATCCAGGCAGCTGGTCAGCTAGTGAAGAGATGCTTGAAGATGGAGGGTGAGGAGAGGCCGACCATGAGAGAGGTGGCTATGGAACTTGAAGGTTTAAGGAAGTTCAGCAAAAATCCTTGGGCTCAACAACCACCTGAAGAGCAAGGTGCCCCGTCAACGAGCGAGCAAGCCGATCTATACGCAGTGCCGATAAGTCAAGATTTCAGTACTGGACAGTATTCTGGAATGCAGAGTTTGGATAGCCGTATGATATATCCGATCAACACCCCTCGTTGAGTAGTGAACACAGTAATTCACTCACTACTTGTTCCATTTTACCACCACCAGGGGTTTTTCAGTTGTTGTATATTTGTTTACATGTTTTTCCTTTTCATCTTTCACAAACTATTTCATTCTTCTCGTATGTGTTTTTCTCGTGTGCAAACGACTTTTTTTGTCAGCTCTATTGAACTTTCTGTGAAATAAACTCTTTGGTTTGTTGTAATTGCAATCATTTCTTTCGTTGTATGGATTGTTCTCACTCTGTACAGATATTCCGATGTTTATACAAGCAATTCAATCTAATTCCAATCAACTCTTCGAAGTGAACTTTAAAATTATAAAGAGATGCTTAATTGACAACTATAACAATATCTTTCAATCCAACTCATTGATGTCATTTATTACAAGTGATTTGTAAGAACTCGTGTTCTAAATCCATAGAATTGATATCAACGAAACACGTATGCAAGCTTTTAAACTGGTAAACATTATACACTTTAAAAGAAGAGAACTTATATAATCATAAAAATGAAAAAGAAACCAACTTTATCAACGGGGACTCTGACTGCCATAGATCAAAGGCGTAGCCCCGGAATGATGATATTGACCAGAGTACTCCCCAGTGACAACCTGAGAATCAATCTCGATCGCATACAAATCCGACGGTTCCTCACTCATCAATCCAACAGCTTCCTCTTCAACTTGTTGCTGTACCCAAGGATGTAGTTTGCTGAACTTCTTTAAACTCTCCAGTTCTCTCACCACTTCTTTCATGGTCGGTCTCTCTTCACCGTGCAAATTCAGACATCTCTTAACAAGCTCACCGATAGCCTGGATTTGCTCCAAGCTCCCTTCTCTCAGCACACGTCGATCCAGAATTTGGAACAGACGATTCTCCTTAATCGATACAACAAAAAAAGTAGCAAGACTCTTCACTTCATCTTGAGTTTTCGTGGTGGAAAGTGGTTTCTTTCCTGTCATAAGCTCCGCAAGAACCACTCCGAAGCTGTATACGTCGCTTTTCTCAGTAAGCTGGCTCGTGTGGAAGTACTCAGGGTCTAAATAACCCAATGTACCTTGCACTAAAGTAGTCACTTGTGTTTGATCAATAGGGACCAATCTCGAAGCACCAAAATCCGATATTTTTGCATTGTAGAATTCGTCTAATAATATATTTGGAGATTTGACATCTCTGTGAATAACTGGCTTTGCAGCTGCAGAATGGAGATAGGACAACGCGCCAGCAGCCTCAACAGCAATTCTGAGACGATTGTCCCACGAAAACCAAGGCATGCCCCCACTGTTATGGATGTGGTGGAAGAGTGTGCCGTTGGAGACATATTCGTAAACCAGCATAGGAACTTCGGTTTCGAGACAACAACCTAAAAGTTTGACCACGTTTCGGTGGTTGACTTGAGTCAAGATTATGACCTCGTTGATGAACTGTTCAATTTGAGTTTGATCCATTACTCGGGATTTTTTAATTGCTACAATTTGTTGTGGGTCGTGAAGGATGCCTTTGTAGACTGTGCCGTAACCGCCTTGGCCTAGGATTCGATCCTTTGCGTAATTATTGGTGGCCTTTTCGAGCTCTTGGGCAGTGAATATCTTGGTTGATTTTGTGGTGCCTTCGTCGGAAGAAAGTTGCTGCTTCAACAACATTCCACCGTTTTGATGGAAGAATTTCTCCCTTTGATTTATGACCTTCCTTTTCTGGATACTGAAGTATAGCCAAGTCATACCAATTATCAAGGCCAGTAATCCAAAACTCATGCCTGCAGACACATTAAACATAAGTTACAGACATCAAATTTGAAAAGAAAAAAAAAACTAATACGTAGAGATGAATATATACCTAAAGCAAACTTGAGTACTGGGAACTTGGAATTATTAGCAATGCAACCACGACCATCTTTTTTGCCATCTCCTAAATAGCCTTTCTTGCAAGAACATGTATAACCTCCTGGAGTGTTTGTACAAATTCCATTTTCGTCGCACGGATTATTACCACATTCATTAATATCTGCACAAGCAAATATATCACATATTCGATTAATTAGTCCATTACCAGATATATACCAAGTATATAAAAATAAATATGTTTAATTAAATATAAAATTAACGAAACTAATAATAATGACCTGTGCATCCTGGACTAAGGTATGGATTCCCCACATATCCATCGGAACAGTTGCATCGATATCCGCCAAGACCATTATCAGAATCAACACAGTAGCTATTATCAAGACATGCAAAATCATTTGATCCCCTGGCTTCACTACAATTCTGAGCTCCAACTGCCCAATCAAGAATCACAGGCGTATTCTCTATGGTTGTGTTCTTGAAACTGGTGTCGTTGAGATCAGAAACACTGAATCTGAATCTGTCTGGATCTCCAAGAAAGGCATAACCACAAAGGGAATGGGACCAAACCTCCACGTGTCGGTACAGAGTGCTAAGAATTGAATCAAAAGTCTTCATACCCTTTGGAATAGCAGTTTGGCAGCAACCAATCCCAGAACAATCTCCGTCAATCAAACCTGCCAGGCTCGAACAGTAGGAGACGCATCCGCTGGTGAAATTCCGTCCTTCAATTCCATTTATCATCGCAAACTCATCGCATCCGACCACTGTGTACTTGTTCTTGTCGGAGAAGGTGTAAGGGGTGCCCGTGAGGTTGATGGAGACTCTGTTGTTGTCCTGGGTTATGATTCCGAATCTATTGTAGCATCGTGATGCAACCAAGTTTCTGACACGTACGGCGTTGTCTGTGATATCGAGGATTTCGATGTTTCCTGTGGCGATGAAGAGTTTGGGGGGGTTGAATGAAGTGTTGCAGGTGACGTCGAAACGGCCGGAGGATAGTGAGCAACCGTTCCCTGCACCGATTCCAAAAGGATACGGTATGGTTAAGTTGCCGCACTTGCTTTCGCAATTGGGCTTTGCGATCATAAAGTTGGCATTTGTGATGCTGCTGGCCAAAGCCAGTACGAAGCACAGGATCGGCAGACGATGGAAGAAAATGGACATGATTCTTGTAACTAAAACAACGTTTAAGTGTCTGCTACAGGTTTAGAACTATATATGTAGTGTAGTATACTTGATGTAATATAATTTCCGTGTCATAAGTTAATTAGCAGCACTCGGCCCAAAACTTAGACTTAAATGATTGGTGGCTGCATTTTCAGCTTACAGAAATTGCAGACAAGTAGGCCAGGAAATTAGATCACAAGTTTCAACTAGTTGACTTTTTGAACCAATTTAAAGTAAACGCATTATTATTATTATTATTATTATTATTATTATTATTATTATTATTATTATTATTATTATTATTATTATTATTATTACATGATGGTGGATGTCTGACCACAAATATATATATATATATATAGTTACTAATTAATTAATAATACTACAAGGCAGTTGCATGATTTGGGGATCGACAATATCTCTTCATTAACCAAAAGTAGAACTGTAGAAGTAAATTAACAGACTTGAAAATCCAATTATTAAAAAAAATAAAAAAAAATCCAATGATATTAATTTGCAAAATCTTGTTAATAGGAATTAAAGTTTATTTTTTCACAGCCGTACGTGATGTATGTAGTAAATAAGGAATTGGGGTGGGAATGCATAAAACGAAGGATGTGACATATTATGCTGAAGTTGAATTTGTTGATTTGGTCGTTCGTACACCCTGTCTCCGTCTCTGTCTATGGAATGAGTCAACAAGCCTACCCAATTTTGGGATGCATGGCCCATGTCCATGTGCAAAGTCTTCTTTTAAGTTAAATTATATTTTTTTTCTGTCACGGCATCGCATTTTCATTTTTCATTGACTTTGACTTCACAGATTTACTTACTACCAAAAATTAATTAAAAACTAAAGTAATTTTACCCAGTCGACTTTGGGTCGTTGACTTTATTTACATCAAGTTGGGCCTTAACCCAAACGGCAAAAACCCATTTAGTCCAGCAGGATATGTTTTTCTTCTACTTTCGAAAAGGCGCAAATATTTACTAATTACTATTAATTAATTTTCTGCTGTTTTGGATTCTCATTTATATTCAATGGGCATCTTATCAAGTCCTCGTATAAAATATTTTCTTAAATAATAAATTAAATACTAATATGCATATATATGCGGATAACACAAAAAATAATTAAAGAAGGATGTATTCGTGGCAGTGTAATTCAGCCTGACTAAGCAACTGCGTGTCGCCATCCATCATATGATCCAGCCACGTCTGCACCGCACGTGCACACGTGTCATCCTTACCTAACTCGTATATGCACCTCTCTCTAGTCTATATATACACACACATATAGAGCTTAATATTGATTAATTACGATGGTGTTATGTGTTTATGATTAGTCGATTGTGTTGGGGTTGTAAAATTAATTAATTAAATAATCGATCGGTAAAAAAGGATCGCTCTGTAGCTAATAATATATAATGGCATCGGAGCAGGAGGAAAGAGCAAAACTGGACGAGAGAGCAAGGCAAGGGGAGACGGTGGTTCCGGGGGGGACAGGCGGGAAGAGCCTGGAAGCACAGGAGCACCTAGCTGAAGGGAGGAGTCGGGGCGGGCAGACCCGGAGGGATCAGCTAGGAACACAAGGATACCAGGAGTTGGGAAGTCGGGGCGGGCAGACCCGGAAACAGCAGATTGGTACACAAGGCTATCAGGAGATGGGTCGTAAAGGTGGCCTCACCACTATACACAAGTCCGCTAGTGACCGTGCCCATGACGAAGGGATTCAGATTGATGAATCCAAGTTTAAATCGCCTTAATTCCGCATGAATCATGAATCGTCATCGATCCACCTATCATATATTAATTAATGTCCTTAATTAATTACTATTATTATCTATATATATGTAAATACAATGTGTGTAGTTTTACTTTTCGTTGTTTGTAACTATGTAATAGTGCGTTAATAAATTTTCGTTAATAATCCTCCTATCCAACTTGGGGAATATGTATTCTTATTATAATTTATAGCAAATTAACTTTTAGAAACTATATACATATATATATATAGGCCTTAAATTGAGGAGCCGAACAATTATCTAGTTCAAGTAGCCGGACCAGGTTTAGGCCTACCAAGGCCCAAATCAACACATGGATTCATGTCCCAAATCCTAATTACACTTTCCATTTCAAAGAATAATTATTAATTGGGGGCCATGTCCATACCATAATTCTTTCTTTGTGATAAATCCCTAGAAATTTTATTACAATATTACCCTTCCAACAATTATCACGTTTTGTAACAATTACCCATGATTTTCAAAATCCCTAACAATATGGTTACATACATCCCAATTAATTAGCATTAAAATCCACTTTCCCTAACAATATGGATATATAATACATAAATCCCAATTAATTAGCATTAATATCCACTTTCCCTAACAATATAGGATACATTATACATAAATTTCAATTAATTAGCATTAATATCCACTTTCCCAAAAATATGGATACATTATACATAAATCCCAATTAATTAGCATTAATATCACTTTCCCTAACAATATGGATACATTATACATAAATCCCAATTAATTAGCATTAATATCCACTTTCCCTAAAAAACCTGCTTCCAAATTAAAAAAAAAAATTCAAATCACATAAAATCGCTCAAGAAGACGCACATAAATGAAAACTCCCCCAAATCGAAAACTCATCGAAATCGAAAACTCCCTCGCTCAAAACTGCAATTGCATACAAAAAATCGAACACATTTGGTGCAACATCATCCATCCCTCGCCCATTACTAGTCTGTTGTGATTTGAGTTGACGTAGTCACATTCAAATCTATATCGTGAAAATGAAGACGAATGCATCATCGAAACGCAAACGGATTTTTTGCATGTTTCGATTAGAGTTGAAGTAGTCACATTCATTGTGTTTTTTTATGCATTAAAAATCACTTAAATGTTTATTAATTCTTATGCTATTAGTATTGACATTTTATTATTATTGAAAAAAAATATGATTTAAAATGTATAAATATGACTGTATTCTGCCAACTAGTTTTCCCCGCACTAAAACGTGATTATTAACATAACAGTGAGAATATGACTATAATGTGACTATGCTTTGTTTAACAATATAATTGACATTGAGAATTAACAGACATTAGCAGTATGATTATGAACAGAACAGTAAGAATATGACTATTACGTGGCTATGTTCTGTGATATCGAGCAAAGTAAAAAGGGGAAAGTAGAATTTACCCAAAATTAAATTACAGAATACACGTGTTAAATAGCAAAAAAAAATGATTGGTGGCTAAATGACTTATCAATAAGAGAAAATATATGGGCTAGAAAAGAGGTGGCTAAAGTCCTTAGGTGAAATTCGAAGCCCAAAGAACCTGCAAAAGGTGTAAGAATATGACTATTATGTGACTATGCTTTGTATAACAGTATAATTGACAGTGAAAATTAACAGACAGTAGTAGCATAATTATTAATAGAACAGTGAGAATATGACTATCATGTGCCTACTCTGTAAATTGAGATAAAATGAAATCAGATACAACTTGGACGACACAAACCCATATATTTTGCTCTGAACAAAACAAACGCTCGTAAATTGCGAACCAAACATTATAATCCATAGACTAAATTAAAAAAAAAAAAAAAAAAACAATTCCATACAACCACACAACTTTTCTTCAACACTAAGCACAAAGCACTACAAAGACGACGACTAGGCACCTCGATCTCGCCCAAAAATACTTGCTTATATCTATCAAAATCATGCCTACGGATTCGCAGAGAAAATCATAGCATAATTATTAACAGAACAGTGAGAATATGACTATTATGTGACTACTCTGTAAATCGAGATAAAATGAAATCAGATACAACTCGGACGACACAAATCAATATATTTTGTTCTGAACAAATCAAACGCTCGTAAATTGTGTACCAAACATTATAATCCATAGACTAAATTAAAAAAAAAAACAAAAAAAAAAAAAACAATTTCAAACAATCTCTGATCTTTTCCACGCAACCTCTCTTCAACACCAAGCACAGAGCGCTACAAAGACGACGACTGGGCACCTCAATCTCGTCCAAAAATACTTGTTTATATCTACCAAAATCACGCCTACGTATTTTCGCAGAGAAAATTATGTGCAACTACAGACAAGGAAACTGTTATGGAAAAATATTATAAATATATATTTGATTTATTTTAAAAACTGTTGTTAAAGGTAATTATGTCTTATCCCATCTTAAAAAGGGATCTCACTAATTAAAATTGAAATATGAGTATAGGCAAAAGTCTTAAAAGTCAAATGAGTTTTACTCATAATATTTTCCATTTGAGGGGTATTGCATATTTCCCCTTTTGTTACTTGGTGCATATGGCTCCATTGAAATAATGTTGAATCAAATTATATACATTGTTGTTATGATTCAAGTTTCAAGCGGATAATTAATTAGTTGGTAGTATTCTGGGGGAATCGGGTTCCTATATATCCCACCAAGCAATCATGAGCATAATATAATATGCAACAAGTTGCAAAGATTCCCAACCTGCAAATTTCATGCGAATCCATGTTTAGCATATGTCAGAAACTATTTGGCTCGGAAATAAGAATCATAATATTTATCTTGCCACCATGTTTTTAGTGAATCCTTAAACTCTTTGGCCCAAAATTGTCCGCAAAGTTATAATTTCCAAGAAAGATAATGGGCTTTCTTTCTGAGTAAAATTGCAATCTATTACTGATGGTAAATTATATTATATAGAAAAAAATAACCAAACAGCAATATGACAATTGACAGAGCCAAACAGAACCTAAAATCGGAATATCAATTATTTCCTACAATAAGAGATTTGTCAACTCGTAAAAAAATATTACCAAAAACGCATAAACGAATATAAGTGCAGTAGCCAGTATGTATGCGCTCTCCTTCCCTCCCCTCTCCCGCCTATAAATACTTCCCTCTTTTCTCTGCCTCACGAAAAAAACTAAAACGGGCTCCTCTACTATTTTCACTAGTAGGATTTTTCAATTGTGTCTCTATTACATATACGTCATTTTCCCCTGTACATATACACACAGTAAAATGGACGCTTATCCGCTGCATCTAGCAATGGCGGCACTTGTTGGAGCGTCCTTTGTTGCCGTTTCGGCGTACTATATGCACAGGAAAACCCTAAACCAGTTGCTAGAGTTCGCAAAGGCGGAGGACGGCGACGGTGATGTGGCCGAGCAGGTTAACAAGTACCCCTCCCGACGGCGTAGCAAGGGGACCGCTGGTTACAGTCGTCGCGGTTCGGACGTGACCAATGTTTCTGGCGGCGGCGGAGATGCTGGTGACTCGGAGGAGAGAAGGAATGGTCCGGTGCACTTGGATTATATTCCGGCCGGATTGCCGAAGCTTCACACGCTTCCTGAAGGTACGGGAATGTAGGACTTTTTACCTGAATAATCGAAATTTATTTAGTTTGTGTATTCTGAAACTTGTCTGGAAATTGCGAAACTCTGTTTTTTCGTGAAATAGTACTATATATTAGTGTGGAACTGATTCAGCACAAAGTTTCAATTGAGAAATTGAAAATGTAGAAATACCTAAAAGTAATGAGACTGAATCCTGTAATCGGAGCTTTCTCATTTAGCTCGAACCAAACTGGAGAAGTTAAAACTAGAGAAGAACGGTGTGTATCTTGTCATATATAATTTGATTCTTGTATTAACTTGTTTATTTCCAGGCAAATTTGGTAGTGTGAGTTCAAACACCAGAGCGGTACATCTTATTCGACCTACTTCTCCTAAATCACCTGTTGGTAGTGCAAGTGCAAGTGCATTTGAGAGTATAGAATGTTCAGACGACGAAGATAACATGACTGACAATGCAATGCTAGACACTACATATATTCATTCTAATGGAAACGCGGTGAGTACAGTTGATAAATAGAAAAGGCTCTCTGACGTTCATGCTCATCTTCTTTTTGTTCCCCTGTCTCTGCTGCACACATTTACATTGAACTTGATCCAATATCTGTTCTTTATTATATACTAAATATGCCATTCTTCCCTCATTTATTGAAACATGCATTTAGTTGAATTCCGAAATATATTCTGATTGTGAAACCATGTTTCAGAACTTACCTGACCATACAAATGTAACTGGTGAACCAATGCCCTCCGCCACATCAAATATGGTTCACTCACACAGTGTAACTGGTGACCTGCATGGTGTCCAACCCGATCCTGTAGCTGCTAATTTTTTAAGGAAAGAACCAGAACAAGAGACCTTTGTACGATTAAGAATTTCCCCCCTTGGTAGTGCTCTTGTTTCCTTTTTTATGCATATTTCACAATTGTTTAATTCACTAGGGATGACTCTTTGTCGCAATTTTTTTTTGGCCATATTGTCCTTGCTATTTGGAAAGAGCTTTAGTTTTTGTTTTTGTTTTTCCAAAAATCAAAAGTGGGATATTGCTTTCCATCGTGTGTAAATTTGTCAATTCTCAAGCTAAAATATTTATGTTGGCCAAACGGATTTGTTATTTTGACTTTCTTCCCCACGTAATTACTGTTAGAGATACCATCTCTGGAGGAAGTAGATGTCTACCGATCACTGCAAGGTTGCCTTGAAATGAGGAGACGTTATGTATTTAGAGAAGTCGTTGCCCCATGGGAAAAGGAAATTATATCTGATCCTAGTACTCCAAAGCCAATTCAGAACCCATTTCATCATATTCCAGAGGGAAAATCTGATGTAAGTCTTCCCAGTAAATTAATGTATCTTTCTCTTCTTTTTGTGCTTGATCTTGTCTATCCAAATCCCTTTACATTTTTCTTACAGAATCATTAGTTGTGCTGCGTATTTTGCGTACTTTTTAATGAATTGAATTCAAATTCCTGCAGCACTATTTTCAGATGGAAGATGGCGTCGTTCATGTTTATGCAAATAAAGATTGTAAGAGCCAAAATTTTTGATGGATTTAATCTTGCATAATTAGAGTAAATTTGAAATGGAATTTCCCTCGTTCTAATTGTACTTCTTTTTCTTTCCCCAGCAAAAGAGAAACTTTTCCCTGTAGCTGATGCCACAGCTTTTTTCACCGACCTGCATCATATTCTCAAGGTTATAGCAGCTGGGAATAATCGAACTTTATGCCATCACAGGCTAGTTCTTCTAGAACAGGTTGATGCATCTTTCTGATAATAAATTGCATTATAAATTTTTGTATATTAAAGAACCAAATTCATCTAATACTCTTGGTGTTTATGCCCCCCCAGAAATTCAACCTTCATCTGATGCTTAATGCGGACAGGGAGTTCCTAGCTCAGAAAAGTGCACCACATCGAGATTTTTATAACGTCAGGAAGGTCGACACTCATGTTCACCACTCGGCTTGCATGAACCAGAAACATCTTTTAAGGTTTATCAAATCGAAGTTGAGGAAGGAACCAGGCGAGGTAAGATCCTTTAGCTTCTTTATTTTGGTATAACTTAATATACGTGTATATATTAGATACAAGGATCACGGTGGTGGGTGGGGTGAGAAAATACTTATGGAAATAACTGTAGGTCATACCCTGTAATCCTTATGTGAATAACTTGCTCGTTTTCAGGTTGTTATATTCAGAGACGGGACATATCTGACCTTGAAAGAGGTGTTTGAGAGCTTGGATTTAACTGGGTAAAAAGTTTCAGCTTTTAAAAATTTGTACATGGGAGTAAGATAAAAATAAATAAAATATGGTTGTTTAGACTTTTGCATAGTAAATTATTTATGCCATCACGGTGATCAATTTAACCGTTCTCCCTGTGACTCATAATGCTGTTCTTTTAATATGACTGAAGCTGATGAGTTTGTGTTTGAATGTTATTTACAGATATGATCTGAATGTTGACCTATTAGATGTTCATGCTGACAAAAGCACATTTCATCGCTTTGACAAATTTAATTTGAAGTATAATCCCTGTGGCCAGAGTAGATTGAGAGAGATATTTCTGAAGCAAGATAATCTCATACAGGGTACATTCTATTTTTTTCTTTTAGCTGACAAGGCATTGTAAGTTCATCCAAAAAACATGTTGGTTTAATTGATGGCATGTTTTTTTACTGGATGGGGTTCTAGTTTAACTTTTCAATGTTTCCAACAGGCCGTTTCCTTGCTGAATTGACTAAGCAAGTTTTTTCAGATCTGGAAGCAAGTAAATATCAGGTGGGTCTCCGACATCCTTTTGGTGGATCTATATCTCATTAGATGCTGAATTTTAGTTTGTGCTCTTGTGCAGATGGCTGAATACCGAATATCAATTTATGGCAGAAAGAAGAGTGAGTGGGACCAACTAGCAAGTTGGATAGTAAATAATGACCTGTACAGTGAGAACGTTGTATGGCTTATTCAGGTAAACGAAAAGCATATACCTATCCAAGTTAATATTGGGTAGGCAATTTATAACATAAAGAGGGAAATAGTTTCGGAGATTATTCATCTAAATATGAAACATAAAAAGGTTCAATGTTGCAATAGTACTCACGTTTCAGAGTTTTTACCTGTTAGATCTTCCGTTTCATTTATTTCACACCAGCTCCTTTTGCATTTACATGTTTTTTATATGTTAGAAATGTGGATTGTAAATTCTTATTGTGGGAATTCTATCATCCAGCTACCAAGACTTTACAATGTGTACAAGGAGATGGGAATTGTCACCTCGTTTCAGAATATTCTTGATAACATCTTTCTGCCGTTGTTTGAAGTTACCGTCGATCCGGATTCGCATCCACAGTTGCATGTTTTCTTAAAGCAGGTTCCTTACTAACCAATATATATCATCTGTGAGGTTGTCACGTAAAATATTTTCCTAGTCTTTCTGTTCTGAACTACAATTACATTTGGTCTAAACAGGTTGTTGGGCTGGATCTTGTAGATGATGAAAGCAAGCCTGAAAGGCGTCCTACTAAACATATGCCTACGCCGGCTCAGTGGACCAATATATTTAATCCAGCATTTTCGTACTACGCATACTATTGCTATGCTAACCTATATACTCTAAACAAGGTACGCACATCATAAGCATTTTCTATCCCAATGCAAGCTTAAAGATCTTTCTGGAAACGGAAAATACATTGTTTCAACCTCTCTGTTCATACCAGCTAGTTTGTTATCTCTGTTGTGGTAGTTCTTGTTTGCCTTCATGTGGAGAGCGAGCAACACCACTCTGAGATACATACTCGATTGCATCTTTTGTACATTTTATTTACTAGATATCTGTTCCAAAGTTTTTAGATTGAGGTTTTCAATTGTTCATTTTCAGCTTCGCGAGTCTAAAGGTATGACGACTATTAAGTTCCGGCCCCATTCTGGAGAGGTGAACTATTATTACGTTTCATCGATCATTTTCTTTTTGTCTACTGCTCTTAATTGGATTTTTCTTACATTTCTAAAAATATTCTGACATGATCAGGCTGGTGACATAGACCATCTAGCTGCAACATTTCTGACAGCTCATAACATTGCACATGGAATCAATCTTAGAAAATCTCCTGTTCTTCAATATCTATACTACCTAGCCCAGGCAAGTAAAAAAGTTGAATTAAGCGGTTTGCCTGTTTAGGACAGAATAGTTTATAACATATGAACTGGCTTATCAATTCAGATTGGTCTTGCTATGTCCCCTTTGAGCAACAACTCTTTATTCTTGGACTACCATCGTAATCCTCTTCCGATGTTTTTCCTTCGCGGCCTCAATGTTTCCTTGTCGACCGACGATCCGTTACAAATTCACTTAACAAAAGAACCCCTGGTGGAAGAATACAGTATAGCTGCTTCGGTTAGTATGCATGATCTGGCTCTCTTGACACTTTGAGTTCTTAAACTAATGAAAGTCTTGCAGATTCCTAATTCCTTTTGCTATTACAGGTGTGGAAATTAAGTTCATGCGATTTATGTGAGATTGCTCGTAATTCAGTGTATCAGTCTGGTTTCTCGCATGCTTTAAAGGTTTGTGGCATTTCCAAGAATTATCATCTTTTTCGTGGTGTTTTGAATTATCATAGGCTATAATCCATATCATATTGCATTTATTTTAGCGCAAGTATACAGAATATGAGAAGCTAGTTTTAGTGCTTCCTTCTCTTATTGCTTTGGCTATCAATTTCCTTGCAGTCTCACTGGATTGGTGAGGGGTACTTCAAGCACGGACCAGATGGAAATGACATTCACAAGACTAATGTACCTCATATAAGGCTCGAATTTCGTGATATGGTATGTGCTTGATTTTAGTAGTTTTAGATCCAATGCCCTTATCCTTCTGGAACAAGTCAAGCCTTGAAAGCGTCACAAAACATTATTTTTTTATTGCTGCAGATATGGAGAGAAGAAATGCAACATGTTTATCTGGGCAATGCAAACTTTCCCAAGTTTATTGACCCATAATCTGCTTCCTAATCAGTAAATTATTGATTGTTTGACCCCAGGGGTAAATAAATCACTGTTTCAAAGATTATTGCACACTTGAGAAATATGTCTGTTGTCTATTTAACTAATACTTGCTCTCGCCTATTTTAAAACTCACAAGATATTTTGTTGCTGGTGGCTGTAGGTACTGGCAAGTGGCACTAGATTATAAATTGCTTATATTAGAAGAGCTGTGGTCTAACCAACAACGGAGAAGTATTAGCTTTGGCAAGGTTTGTATAGCTGGACTCTCGTGAAGGAATGATGAGGATTATCTTGTAAGAATGAGTTTAGTTTTAGGTAACTATAAGATCAAGCATAGCAAAACATGATCTTCACTATAAGATTCCATTGTAATATGTTTCCTTCCTCCTTTCTTAAGTAACTACAAGATCAAGCATAGCAAAACATGATATTCTGGAGACAAAAATCCCAAAATTTCCTAATTGAGATCTTCACTTCATAAAAAAAAATCCCGTTCACATGGCGGATGGCACATGGCACATGCCCTCTGGTTTCAATTTGCCAGTTCGAGTATTATTAAAGGCTATAAACTACAGAGCTCTTGCAGCCTCAATTTGTTCTCTCTTAAAGAGAATATCAATGCAATGCAAAACGTAAGCTCAAAACTCGAAGATCTAAAGTTTTTTGGAGCAGAAAAATGCAACAGTACTATACTTTGACTTTTTTGTGCTGCTTTATCTCCTGAATTACTCCATCTGCGAGTGAAGCATCATCGAAATTCTTCCCAAAGAACTTCACAAATTGCATATTTGGATCCATCAGGTACCTGCAATATTTTTGTTAGTGAAACTTCATAATCTTAATCATGATGTAATCATAAAAATGCAGCCAGTTGACTAACATCACCATTTATTTAACATGCTTTAACATCTCAAATTTTAACTAAGGCACCTAGATACTCAGGGAAAGTTGCAAGGGACTGGAAACATATTCTGTCCCAGAAAATCAATCCAAACAGATTTCTTCACTTGCGATAGTCATGCAACACTACTGACTTAGATGGTACGCAGTTAAGAATTAGGACGAACAAGTGTCAGTCTTTGGCCAAATATAAACGGTTAAAGGATTATACGTACATGACTATAGAGTGATCAACCAGATAATCTGAACCTTCTTCTTCGGTCTTCATATAGTACACACGATAAGCACGCGCGGTCTTCTTGATTTCATCCGTGGAACCTGTGAGTCCAATTAATTTCGGATGGAATTCTGAAACATGACATGCAATAACAGTTCATTCAGTAAAGAAACTTAAAAATATTTTAGATGGCATCAAATAGAGTTTCGCTTGATCTCATGCCAAATTTACCTTTTACGTACTCATGGACTTGTTCAACAGTATCTCTTTCCGGATCGACTGAAATGAAGACTGGCACTACTTCTATTCCAGACTTCTCTTCTGCAAATGTAGGAAAATAAGAAACCTAGTATGCTAGAACACCAATACTGAAACAAGGTCAATACAAGAATAAACTAGAGTATGCATCAAAATCCATTGCAGAAGACGATCACCACAACTATGTCACAACCACTTCCATCCTTAGGGTAAGGAGATGGGGCAGAGTGAAAGTTTAACTATCTCACAAGCACTTCCATAATTGGGGGTGGGGGTAGGGAAGATACAAGTTTGACTCACTTATTTTATCAACTGCCGATGCCAGCTTTTGTAGCTCATCTGGGCATATATCAGGGCAGTGAGTGAACCCAAAGTAAAGCACGTTCCATTTACCCAAAAAGTTTTTATCAGACACAGATTTCCCATTGTGGTCAATTAGGTTAAATGGACCCCCAATAGCCGCCTTCCCGACAGAAGGTCCCTGTCTTACAGCATTTGAAGCATTACTTATACCTGCAAGAAATCACTCATGAAACTCTATCACAAACATAAATCAGAATAATACATGGTGACTGCGGAACTAAAAAAGAAAAGGAACAGCAAAAAGTAAGCTAAAGGTTCACCAATACAGTATTGACTTCAACACGTTACCCAATCTAAGAACAACCGTATAGCTTTCAGTAATCCTTCGAAGATAAACCTAACTCCAATTGTGATACTACTGCAACAACTTCCACAATAAATTTAGTCTTAATATGCAAATCAATGCTAAAAGAGGAAGTCCTTACTATAATAAAGACGATGTCACTAAACAAAATGATGATCAATCTTGCTCTTTATATTGTAAGAACATCTCTACTTTTTGTAACAAATATTTTGTTACTCAGACCTAAAGTTAATGGGACGAACATGAATGGAACTACAAAGTCAGATTCTCAACATTGAGAAACAAATACGTTCATGTAGTCACAGCATACGTTTTTCGACAACAAACAAAAAAGTCACCACCAAACTCACCATAGTTATCTAACCTTCAATATGCCGCTTCTTTTCCCGGTCATAGTAGAAGACCAATCCCGCTCCAGTACAAAGTAGCAGAAAAAAGCTCATCCATGAAACAGGCTACAACCAGAAATGAAGTTCAAATTTGTCAATAAACTAATATTAATATGAAAATCTATTTTTATTTCAGCTTCACATATGTCTGAACGTGGGAAAGGGGAAAGAGGGTATAGTACAGCTTACAACAATTAAATTGTTATCTAAACTAAAAATAAATCTAGAAATTGGAAAAATCAAATACAGATATGGTAGAACCAGCGACAAAAAAAGTGTTCAAATTTAACATAGATCTGAAAATTGGAGAAGAAATTAACAAATTAATAGATACATGAAGAGTTGAAATAAAGCAAAGGCCGAAAGAAGTACCCCTCCTCGGATAGACTTTCCTTGTTGAGAAGAATTCTGCGACCCACCAGAACTTTGTCCTCCATCGTTTGTATTTTCAGAATTTCCATCGGCCGATCCACTCGACGGCGTCTCGTTCACATTTGAACTTGAAGATTGGTTAACACTCGGATCATTGGTTTTCGTGCACAAAAAGCGATGATTGATCGAAAAAGCAAAAGCAGGGGGCAATTTGTACTGATTGCCAGCGTGCATTTCCGGCGAGAGAGAAGTAAGGGGTGAATTCTGGATTACTTTATCGGAAAAAGAGTGAAATCTGGAGGAGAGCAGTTGAGAATTGATAGAATAGTACGCGTGGAGGCGAAATTTCCTCAAAAATGCTGAGGCCATCGTCAATGGCGATGAATTTCTTCCTCTCAGATTTGGGGTTTTTGTTTACTGTTCTAAAACCCAATACGGTGGGTTTGGTTGTGCTATATATAGTGCCATCGGCCCATCAGAACGAATGATGCTTGACCATACCCGAGTCCAGGACAACGTACCATTTTACATCCTCAATTAATTTCTATTCCTTTACCAAAGCGTGTTCTACAATTTATATACTTCAAAACATGTTCTACACTTATATATGCATGATCGAATAAAAAAACAAAATTTCTGCACATGAACGGAATACACACCTTCTATCAATTTTCATGAAGTTCTCATTTTTAAGCTTTTTTTAAGGATCAAGCAATTGATATTTCATACAATTTTGTTGACAGAAACACCAATCTGAAATAGATCGTTATCGCATCAGCAACTGTGACCTGAGTAGTGGACTAATTATAATCAGTCAGGTTATTACAGCAACTAATGTATTGCAATAAAAACAGCGGAAAATAGCACTTCAATGTTACAAATCTCTTATTTGAAATATAGATAACAATTACATAATGCGTATCACCAAACAAATAGGCTACGAATCCTTCGGAGCACAAACATTATTAGTTTGTCACAATATTGGGCTCCCACATGATTGTTCTTGAATGAATACAAATTCTCAACCTAAACCTTCATTTTTCAAGCAGATTCAGCACAGCAGCGTTCCATTTAAGGCAAAAGCAAAGACAGTGTACAACTCCATTCTCATGTTGGCATAACCGCAACGACCATCACTGGTTCTTGAATGACTGCAAAATGTAAAGGTACCTTCCATTAAAAACATATATATATATATATATATATATATATATATATATATATATATATATATATATATATATATATATATATATATATATATATTATATGAAGACTAACCTCAATGTTCTTAGATGCATTCTTCATTTGATCGGCTAATTCTTTCTTCTTCTGAGCAGCTGCATCACAAAATATATTGATATAACGATGTCAGCTGGATAAAATAAATCAATAAAATAAAAAACAAGTAAACATAAAAATCAAGATACCAATATCAGAAAATTGCTCTATCTTCTTAGACGTCCTCACTGCAAACCTCTGAAATCCCTGACTGGCAAATCGGACATAATATGTTAGCACAGTGATATTACAATATGAAGGAACAACCAATAAATATTCAATTTCTCTTCAATTTCTAGTTTGTGAGTGCATCATCAATCAACTCCATACGAAAAAGGCAGAATTACAGTAAATGAATACAAAATAGAACTTCCGAAACACAGGAAAGATCAACTGCCCAGAACATCAGAAGCCCAACTTCGAAAATATTTATCTCCATCACTAATCAGTCATTATTGTCCGACAAAGAAACAATACATTTAAGTTGGGAATTAGGATGGTATAGTAGATTTTATCAATATATTCATCAAATCCCAACTCTGACCGTGGAACAAAGTCGATAAGAAGATTCTATTACATACACAAAGACAATCACCTTCCTTTCAACCTGAAACTAATACAGTTTTCTGATTTATAATAAACCCTAGGATAATTTAGCTTTATTAAATCCAGAGTCTAACATAATTAAAATATATATATATACAGCATAAGCCTCAGACCGATAAAAAAATTGACAAAGAGGGAGCGGTCATCTCCGCAATCATTGCAACATAAGGAAGTCATCATCGGCAATTGTAAGCACCCGTACATAAAATACACAATTACACAATCAGAGCATCGGGAATAGCAGCTTTAATTTCGTTCATTCAAACAGCCAAACAGAAAGATCGACATCAACAGCAAAAATATAACGGAAATATTCATTCATATTCAAATTAAATAACCTGTTGGCAAGACCGTTCACGATTAGCTCGTTAGCGACATAAGAAAGTACTCTATGGATGAAATTTCCACCTCCAGCCATTCTTCACAATAATAACCAAAAAAAAGAATTAACCTAGATGAATTATACAAAGAGAAAATTTGAAGAATTAAAGTATATAGAAATCCAATTTCTGTTACCTGAATAAAGTATCAGGAAAAGGAAAACCCTAATTCTAGATTTTTCGATGGCGGCAATCGTGGACAACGCTTTGACGAGCGATCCTGTGCTTTGTTTTGATTTTTCAGAAATGGGGATTCTTCTCTGAGAATAAAATGGACTACTGGGCCGGGTTGTTCGAAGAACACTTGTGATTTAATGTTGTTATTAATGGACTCCAAGTACCCAACTAGGTCGTTGTGCCCAATTGGGTAATTTAAAAAAGAACGATTAAGTTTTGTGCAAGTAATTAATCCAAAATACGTGAAAAAAAAAAAGATAAGTATCGATACATGAAATTTCGTAAAAAAAAATTATGTTATTTATTATTCGAAAAATTTCCGGCCGCCAGAGCTCCACCGCCGTTGGGTGGTGGTGTTGGTCGTCCGCCCGTTAAATGGTTGCTCAAGTCTGTCTAGCATTTTAGCAAGGGGCACGACATGCCCTCGTTGTCCGTCGGTGCTAGGCCGTGGCCAAGCGCTGGCTTGACACCTTCACCCCTACGGTAAAAAAATCTGAAATGACCACTAAACACTAAGATGTCGAGTAACATAACTTTTGTATATCTTATTATTTTATGTATTATTCAACTTACTTTTGAACCGATTTTTTTTTTTTCTAACATCAATTAAATTATTCTTAACCCATATCATATAATATATTCTTAAATTATCCAATGAAAATATCATATGTACCATACAATTTATAATGAAAAACAAAGATGGAAAACCAAATGAGAAGATAAAAAAATCAGCAATCAGAAAAGTATACAGTTATTACATCATCTAAATGTCTATACCAAAACAAAAGAAAATCAAGTAAATACAACAGATCAGATTAAAATCATGCATCATTGACATATCTTGTTGCTCAAATGACACATGTAAAAAGCACCACTTTCTTAATTTCCAGGCTTCTTTTTTGTTCACGTGTTTTTTCTACTACAAAAACAACAAATGTGCATAAAGTATTCTATTCCAGGTATCAGGAACTCCAGGCAAACACCAGTGTATGCAATCAGCATAGTGCAATGGATCTTCCTTTTCTTCTTCTGTCAACAATTTTCCCCCTAACTCAGTGTAAATTGACGAGTGAGCATCGATTCTATATTCTGATAGTTGAGTTATATTTAACAAAGTAACAGGTACTTTCATCCTCGATACAACACCAGCCACAACGCTCATTATCCGCTTGTCTGACCCTGTGCCCCAGTGCCGTTTCTTTTTTACTGGTCTTGTTTCGTTGAAGCATTTTATCCCTTTCTCATTTCCCCAATCCGCACTTCTGAATATTTTTCAAAAAAAAAAAAAGAAAGAAAAATTCGAAAAAAGGTTACCAAATAGTGCTAACTGCTAACTAATAATATTCAAGAATTGCAGTGATATTTGATATAACTAGAGAAAGGCTGACCTTTGATGAGTGGGAGACATAGTGGTGAAAAACACTTTTGTTTTGTTGGGATTGACATTTGAATCCACCCAATTTGCCCATGTTTTCAGTCCAAGTTTGTACGAAACTGCCGCATCGAGTTCTTCATATCCTTCTTCTCCATTTGCAAAGGAACCCCATCTGCAGTTTATTAGAGGTATAAACATTACATGCTAGCTTTAAATCAATTAATTAATGTGTTTTACTTACTTATATTGAAATTAACAGGAATAGATAAACTCTTTACAATGACTTGATCTTGAGGCCACTCATCCACCAAACATAAGTATTGAATACAAGAATGTCAACTCCTATCCAGTGTTTGGCATGCTTGTCAACCGAATCAACTTTCAATATTCTCTTCTTTGGGTCTGCGATTATATGAACATCTGTGTTCGACTCCACCAGGAACGGAGCCCAGTAGAACTCAATCGTGGCATTGTATTCCTAAATAATTTGTAAATTAACAAGTTTAAAAGGTAAGAGAAATCTGAGATGCTAACAAACCAATTAACTTCGTATTTTGATCTATAATCTATATAAATGCACCTTGGCTTTGAAGATGGTATGCGTACGGCCTCGTTTCATGGATTTCTTTCCTTCTGGGATTACAGATTCGACGAGGCAAACCAATGATTGCCATTGTCCTCTTTGCAGCGAGTCCCCTACAAACATTAGCCTCTTCCCTTGAATTTTTTGCAGAGTTGTTTTAGGATCAAACCTGGTTATATTATACATAGAAATTTCAGTTTTCATTGCTTTCTTGATCTGGATGACAGCCATTGATAACGAGGTAACTAACCTAGGCAATATGCAATCATCAGGCTGCCATTCCCAGTGCCTGTAATCAGAATCGAGCCTTCCATTCTTAACGCACGAAACTTGTCTGTCTAAATATGGGCATGTCCTGTCTGAATACAAAGGTTTAATCGAAGTATTGAACACCCATTTTCCACGATCAAGTGTGCATTCCTCTGGATCAAACACAAACCGGTCGTCTGCTGCATAGTTCAATGCACCAGCACCCACATTTTTCTTATCTGGAAAAAAATAAAAGTACAATGTCATCAAGAATATAACAATCTCTTGACATGGAAAATGTCAAGAAAACTGGTTCCTTATACATATAAATATACCTTTAAAAGACTTTTTAGGAGCGTTTTTGTTGGCACAAGGCTTAAACCTGAATATGGTGCTGGAAGAGAAAGAACTAATTCTCTCAGTGTACAAGAGTGCGAGAAATGCCAAGGAACAAAACACGAATGTAATTATCGACAGAGGTACCTTTCCTCTCGAGGGCTTTGGTGTGCCCATTTTCGAAAAGATTGATAGGCACTTTGGAAAAGAAGACAAATCAGAGAAAAAGGCAAGCGTTGTTGAAATACAAGGAGTGGCAGTGGTGAATATGATGATGATGATGATGATGATGACGACCTTATTCAAAAAAATAAATTTATAAATGGATTATTGAGTAGGAGTGAAGCTAAAGCAATGCGTGATTTAGCAATGCAATCTCTTCTTTAATGAAAAACACAACACAAGCTAAAATAAGGTGGTCCACTCAACTGACAATTGGAATATTCATTCTACTGTCAAAACTTGACATTCCATTTCACTTCAATTACAGACATCATTAAATTTGATCAAATGTTTGGTCTCTCCTATTCTCTTACATGACTTCAACCTACAGTCACCATAAATGAAATAGATTCACTTTTGCAATGGACTAATCATTCAAGGCTCCTGACCATACAATAATTAGGATTTAATGAATGTAATTAACAACCTAAACATGATTTAATTGAATGGACTCCTCAACCAATACAAGAAAACTTTGCTGTTGGATTGGAATAATGTAAATTAAAGAAATGATGATACTAACAGTTTTTGAAGGCCACCTATTTTAGTTGGTAAATGGACCTCCAACATGAACACCCTTTTATTGAGATCCAGTCCACGTCATAAATTGGTTTACAAAAATTAATTAATTAATTTTATAAACAGCCAAAATGCTGAAGAGTCGCTGTTTTCCCAAGCACGATTTTAGCACATTCTGTCTGAGGAAGAAAACAAGATAGAAACGCAACACCGTACCAGATAATCAGATGCTCCATCGCTGACGAACCTCTGTAACTCGAACCGAGTCGATGGCTGCACTCAACCTCTCATCTTCATTACACTCTCCATCTTCTCTTCGAAGATTCCCCAATTTTCATCCTTCCAGAAGTACCCCCACTATTTCCTTTTATTCCCTTCCCAAACCATCTATTCCATTTCCGTCCACATCGCTTGTGCAGAAAACCGCTCTAATAAGTCGCCGTCTCAACGTCGTCGTTTCGGCGGTGAAGAATTTATCTGAGACTGAGTTGGTGCCCGTTTCGTCGGAAAACGAATTCCCATCCGATTCCGGTGTTTATGCCATTTACAATGACAGCGACGACCTTCAATTCATCGGCATAACCAGGAATCTCGCCGCCAGTGTTCTCACCCACAAGAAATCCGTGCCTGAGCTCTGTTTCTCCGTGAAGGTATCGTATGGTCTTTGATGCGTAGATACAGTCTATTCCCCCAATTTTGTCAATACATATTTGTTGTGGAATATACCTAATGCCGTCGGCCTAGGAGTAGGATTAAACCATGTTCAATTCGGTCATGATTGATGCTTAAAAGCTTGTTTTAGCTCGAATTAACAACTTTAGTAAACCAACTTTCAACAATTTTTATTTTTCACGAGTGTCTGAAGTTTTTTTGCAGTAAATGTATTAGGACAAAATCAAGTTGAATGAAGAAACAAAAATCCATCAAATGTTTGTTAGATAGCTTGTGAATTGGTAATGTTTATGGATCGATCGAAACAACCCTCTTCCTCCTCTATGTGAAGTTAATGCAGTTAGACTGCAATATGTGGTAAATAAGATCGTATTTTGTCTTGCAGCCTTGTTTTTCCCCTCACTGTTCGAAGTTCAATGTAGGAGTGATTGTTGCATTACATATTGTCTACGAAACTTCCAGTCCATGCATATTGTAGTAAGGAGAAATGCCTGTTTTGAGTAGAACCCATATCAAGTAACTATGGGACGGACATGTCATGGTCCGTTCGAAACCACTGAATCTGTTTCCATTTTGGCCGAAAACAGTGAACTGGATATTGAGACTGAAGCATATACTATGAATCATCTGTGTTGATAGACTTTCTTTGTTTCTCATTTACGAATATGCGAATTTTAACTCTTGGTCTGCAACTTCATATACAAAAAAATTCAACGATAGCTGTTAAGAGTGAAGCTCTTGTTTTACTCAATCTTAAACCTGTTTAATCTCGGACTTTATAGAAAAGTATTCATATTTCTCTATCACATACATCAATCAACAATTGGAGAAACATTAGATGCTAGTTACAGCATGAAAATAGAGTTAATCATAAGTAGATTTCTTCGTTTCTCTTTGGATTTTTCTCTCTTCTTATCATTTGCTGCATTTATATTCAACAAAGTGCCATGCTATATATAGGTTGGGGTGGTAGAGGAGCCTGATAAAACTGCTTTAACCGAAGCATGGAAGTCATGGATGCAAGAACATATAGCAGCTTCAGGGAAGGTTCCACCAGGTAACGAACCAGGAAATACAACATGGGTGAAGAAGGCAGCTCCGAGAAAGAAGCCTGATCTGAGGTTGACACCTGGCAGTCACGTCCAACTGACAGTACCTTTGGAAGATCTCATCGACAGGTTAGTGAAAGAGAACAAAGTGGTAGCATTCATCAAAGGGTCAAGAAGCGCCCCATTATGCGGATTCTCACAAAGGGTCGTTGGAATTCTTGAAAGTCAAGGGGTGGAATATGAAAGTGTTGACGTACTGGATGAAGAGTACAATTATGGTTTAAGGGAGACTTTGAAGAAGTACAGTAACTGGCCTACTTTCCCTCAGGTTTTTGTTAATGGTGATCTCCTTGGTGGCTGTGATATATTGACCTCCATGCATGAGAATGGTGAACTTGCTGGTCTCTTTAAACAGTAGGCTGTTTTGGTTTGTTATTACATTCTCTGTGTAAGAGGTGAGATAAGAAAATCTAGTGAATGCCCTTTACTTCTCTCCAGCTGTTTATCCCCCAAATTTATAAATTAATAATTATTAAATTTTGATTATTTGATCAATTTCAAATATATTAATTTGTTGAGGTTGAATGGCAGTGATTAATACTTAAATGTCGATCAACAATTATAGGCAGGCCCATTAAAATAAGAAACCAAAACCCATTATATTATGGATTCAAGCAGATGATAAAGCCCAACTCAGTATTGGACAAATTGTTGTGTTTTCGCAGGGACGAGGGTTAATCTGGGATTTGTGTTTTCTCTAAAAAACTGATACTCGCCCACTATCCGCATTATTCATCTAACGGCTGAATTTCACCGATCAACGGTTCAGGATCATCTAATCCACTCGACACGGATTGTCATCTCAAGCCGTCGATAAATATACTTAATCCAACGGCTGAACATCAAACAATCCATCTATTTAACAATCCCACTACCGCCCATCATCTCCAAGCATTTCTCTCTCATTTCAAAATTCAGCTCACATATTAAAAAGGAGAAAGGGGTAATTAAAATGTCGGGGAGGGGAAAGGGCGGCAAGGGACTTGGTAAGGGCGGCGCAAAGCGGCACCGTAAGGTTCTGAGGGACAACATCCAGGGCATCACTAAGCCGGCTATTCGGCGTCTGGCTCGCAGGGGTGGCGTGAAGCGAATCAGTGGGCTCATCTACGAGGAGACACGTGGCGTTCTCAAGATCTTCCTCGAGAATGTCATCCGCGACGCCGTCACCTACACCGAGCACGCCCGCCGCAAGACTGTGACGGCGATGGATGTTGTTTATGCCCTCAAGAGGCAGGGCCGAACTCTTTATGGATTCGGCGGTTAAGTTCCAATTTGTCAGATCTGTAATTAGGAATTTTTCTTTTCGCTATGTTAAGAAATTTGGTAATGTAACCTGTCTTATATATTTGCTAATTCCAAGTGATATGGAAATCGGAGTATAATTTTTTGTTTTTAATATCTTAGATGCTGGTTAAATTCTTGTTGATCAGTGTTATTAGAGTGAGAGCTCACAATGTTTTCGAATCTAGTGTTGCTTATTCTTATACAATTTGGATTTGTCATTTGAATATAGTTGAATTGAATTTTCATTTCGAATACTTCTTTCTGTGTTGGTAGAAAGCGTAAAAAAGAAATCAGATCTAATGTTCATTGGAAAAGGACAGAGATGGCTGTCATAAGATTACCAATTTGGATAGTGCAAGAAGATATACTACTTCAAGCAGAGATGAATATGCCTTCAAATTTTTGCGTCTGTCAATCGTTCTGATAGTTGATTTTGCATTCTGTTTTGTAATTGTTGGTAAATTAATCAATTTACCAATAACTTGCGAAAATGAAAATTGTAATTAGGGAGGTGGGCCGTGGGCCAAATGGATTGTCATCAGGAGCAATAAAATAAAAAAGTATTTGTTGTTAATGGATTAGGGCCATTGGGCCGTGGCTTGTGGACGGTCCCACCAAAGCAAACAAAAATGTAAAATATCTATGGAGATGCGGGGTATCGATCCCCGTACCTCTCGCATGCTAAGCGAGCGCTCTACCATCTGAGCTACATCCCCGTGATGGTTGATCTTGGATAAAGATTATATTTTGTCGTTTGCTTCCAAGAACAATGAACCATCATCAGCCGCTTATCGTATAAGTAATCATATTTTTTGTGGGACTTGAATCCTAAATTTTAATAACTTGCCGTGCCACTAAACCAAAATGTGCTTGTCATAGTTGACTTATTTCAAAGCCTAGTGAATAATTCAATTAAGCCGTTAAACCAGAACAGTGAGAGGAGCTTCCTAAAATTGTAAAGCTATATTATAGGTAATTTGATGTATGGGAGATTTAATTTAGTCATAGTGATTGGACTAGTCACTAGTGGGGTGGTCCAAAACTAGAACTTAATGCGTCAATCCAGGTTCCAAAAGTGCTAACCTAGTGTCACCAAGTCAAATTTAAACAGGACCACCGTTTATAAATAATATACATCACATCAAATATGAAAAAATTACATAAACACACATACTATTTTATAAGTACGTACACAAATAAGAATAAAAAAAAAAGGGGGAGTTAGTTCGGGCCTGTGGGCCGAGATCATTGAACAAATGGGCCCCACAAGAGAAGACTAATATGGGCTGAGTGTGGACGCGTCTTCATTTCCGACGTACAAGTCAACAAAGTCCGGCTGCATGCAATTGAATATTTCCGCTCACCATTTTTCCTGACACCATTTAAACACACACACACTACGATTTTGAAAGTAGAAAACCGACATTTTATTATTTTGAGCAAAAATATAAAATTGTACCTTAATATTTGTTAAAGTACCCCATAAAAACAGTATGTTAATTAATAATTACATCATGTTGATCTACCTTATGGAAATTACATTAGGTTCGAACGCGTAATTAGTTAATTCGACTGGAACACTGACTCCACACACGGACATTCTTAACCAGACGAAGTACTGCTTTCTTGGAATTTACCAAGTGTGAATGGAAATCCACTTATCCCAAGACTTTTGGCTTCTTCATTCTATATTAGTGTAATTACCCATCACCATCCCAATCAATTTTTTAGCCAATTACACTCCAATAATTCATCTTTTGTTTCCCTCAATCCCATTTTAGCACCACAATTCAAATTTCAAACCAACCCCCACTTTATAATTTTCTCTACCCACAACACATTTGTTATTATTCAATCATCATTCTATACAAACATCACTTTTTCATGTGTGTGTCTGTGAAATTTCCACAGTGAACACTTTGAAAAAAAAGAAGGCCAGGAATGGCAAATGCAGCTAATACAACTCCCAGCAAATGCTTCTCCGGCATTCTACGCCGGCTGATATGCTCCGGCAGCCTCCCAACTCACCCGTCTGACGACAAATTCGTGGAGCTCAATATTGAACAAAAGCCGGAAGAATATTCCATGGAACACAGGGCGGCTAATATGAAAGTAGAAGCAGCATCAACTCCAGGAGTAGTGGCAAGATTAATGGGATTGGACTCATTTCCAAGCTCCCCATTTTTGGCTCCAAAAGAGAAAACGACTTTGGGCTCTTTCTTCAGAAGCAGGTCAGTTAATTCAATTGATTTTCTCTCCCACTTTGATCCCATAATAATTAAACAAGGGAGGCCTCACCACCACCACAGAAGAGTCAGAACATCAGTTTCCTTTCGTGAAGGTATCAACGACAACTTTAGTAGTAATGTAATTCTACGCTTAAAGGACACTGCAGAAGTTGAACAACCAGAATTGCTTATCACGAGGAAAACAAGTCCTGATATTAATTATTACCAGCACTCAAAAATAGTAAAGGGAGATAGAATCAGAAACCGCGAAAAATTGCACGAGAAGAGAGTTACTAACAAGCCCAGTAAAAAGGTAGAGGGTATGAACCAAAAGAAATCATCACAGAAGGTAGATTTCCATGCAAAGAGTACAAGACATGGCCGATTAAAGCAAGAAAGCAGACAAAATGTGATATCTAATGAAGAATTGAGGAAAAATTCAAAGGGTTTGAAGACAAAAAAGAAGATGGTTTTGAGTCATGAGAAAGTTCAATCTGGATGTCGCATGAAGAGAGTACACCCTCAAGCCACAGTAGTACCACCAGGTACATATTTTTTACTTATTTCCAAATTCTAAGTAATTACTCTGTTTTAATGTGTTCTTTTTTTTTTTTTTTTTTTTTTTTTTTAAATTTTTTGGTTGTTGTTGCAGAAGTGTGTTCAAGAAACAATGCAGCATCTAAAATCGGTAAATCTGAGCGGATTCCATGTTCAAGTAGTGGTGCACATTCTACGCATAATGGGGAAATAAGAGCAATAACTAAAGGGAAAAACGAAAGGAAAATGAAGAGCAAAGAGAGCTGTTACTACAAAAGAATGGCAGAAGAAATATGTAGGCTGGCAGATGAAGATGTCAATGAGAATTGGATGGATGGGTGTAAGTTGGAGTTCGAAGATTTTGAGGATATGTGTCAGCATTTCGGACAAGAAATTCTTCAAGTATTGTTGCAACAGTTTGTTGATGAACTTGTGATGCATTATCAGACAACGGAGAATAATTAATATATATTCACTATATATTCATTACGTAATTAACATAGTATGTACGCAGTTCCAGTCTCTAATTCTTGTACGGTTCTTCAGAAGTTTATTAATTTCTATAAAATGTATTTGTTGTATCCATGAAGATCAAAGACAAAATATAATGTACAGTGCTTCTTTTCAAGTACATTCATTGCAGGGTGCAATTTATATATATTTATACAAAGCACATTTTACGTGCAAGCATACACATGATAAAATTCATACGATTGCTCGCTATTACAGCATCCGACCAGCATCTTGATAAGCAAAAAAGCAAAACGAAAGCCATATGCAATGGCGGTACCATGAAGGGGCAGGGGGGGGGCAGTTGACCCCCAAGAAAAAAAAAATTTAAGCTATTTTGACCTAATATTTTTTGAATATTACTTTTGGCCCCCCAAAGATTTTGTAAATATGTTTCTTAACTCTTAATTTTTTGTTTATTCTCCATAATTTCATATAAATTATAGATATATATCATATTATAGATATGTGTCGTAATTTTTTTTCGCAGTGTAAACCTATTTTTTCAATGTCTTGTGAACCTAATTTTTTTTTCGGGATGCTGCCCCGAACCCCGAAATTTTAGTTAGCCCCCCTACTTTCTAATCCTGGTTCCGCTCCTGGCCATATGTGTATTAATTTTCCAATGAATGTTACTACTATTTTTTTAAAGCTGATAAATGCCGTTATTCACACAACATATATTTTACTAATATTACACTTTTAAAACGAAACGATCCTTCTTGTGTTGTACTAAGCTTGTTCAAAAGAGCTGTAATAAGGGCATCCCTTTTCTCAGACCTAATTTCTTCTCTAATTTTCCTTTCTTCTTCATTTTCCCGCCACCTTGTTTCAATCATCATCCTCTCATTTTGAAGTACCTCCATTGTTTGCCTCCATTCCATCTCTTTCACTCTCCTTTTCTCTTCTCTTTCTTCGTTACATTTTAACCACTGAATTTCTATTTCCATCTCATGTTTCATGAAATCCTCCATCATCTCCCTAACTCCATTAACTATCGAATTTCCTAACTCCCCTCCACAACTACTTGCGGTTCGTCCTTTCATCACCGTTTTCCTTTTCCTTTTTGCTCCACGGCCCTTTTTTTCTCCTTGGATACTGATGTCTTCGTTTTCAAGATCATCATCCTCGTCGGATGAAAACTGATGATGCACCACCCCCTTCTTCTTGGAACTGCTGGCGCCGCCACCCCCTCCCGCCTCCAGCCACATCGTTCTTTGCATTCTTGCAGAAAATATTGTTTGCATCTCATTGTAAAATGGAAACTGTTGCCTCACCACTTCTGCTTCATCTGTCGTTTCACATCCCTACACGTATGTATTTGTGAATATCATGAACTGTGTGTATGTGTGTGTTATAACTTGTAATGAATAGACCTTGTAGCGAGTGACGAGGTTTTTCCACTTGCACTTGCACTGCAAAGGGTTTCTGTTGTGACCCTTATCTTTCATCCGGGTGGAGATGAGTTCCCAGAGAAGCTTCTTGCGTTTGGTTTCCATGAAATTCGGGTCCAGATCGGCCCGAAACATCAACAAATCCCGGGTTTCATGGATACTCCACTGGGGAAACCTATCCCCGCCGCCGCCGGTATCATTAATACTACTCATCACAAAATCGCCCGCTGCAGCAGCATATGATGGGGAATGATGGAGTTGCGACCATTGACCATGATCCATGTATACACACAAACATATAGATGTATTATATATATATATATATACATATACACTGTTTTAATGAAAAGAAGATCGGCGAGCAAGGAAAAAGATTATCAGGAAATGAAAACGCATCATCGTTTTGCTATTATTAATTTATTCTATTATTATGGTGTGTAAACCTGAATTATTTGGCAAAGGCAGAAGTAAGATAGTCTTGTGTGCAGTGTGTATGTTTTTTCTCTATGAGATATCCATGAAAACGGAAGGAAGAACCAAGTGATAAACTTTTCTTTTCTCTCTCTCTCTCTCTTGATTTATGTTTGTCTCTTTCTCTCTCATTCCTTTTTCTTCCCCTGCACAGTCTCTCTCTCTCTCTCTCTCTCCTGCCTTTACTAATATTTATTATATTATTTCTTTTTGCGCCTATATATCTATATTTGGGGCATCCACATTTGTTCATATTGCGTGTCGCTATTGTCGTGCTGAGACCACATTTGAAAAAGAGGTCCCAGGATTAACTAACATATACGAATTATTGGTCCCTTGTTTTAAATGTTCTACTCCAACTTTTTTTTTTTTTTTTTTTTACTTCGTTGAGGCCACTCGTAATTCGTATGGAACAAATTTTGCATCAAGCATTTTGAGATGATTGCTACCGAGAAACAGGACAGTATACTCTCAGTCTGTCGTGCGCCTCCCTGTTTCAGCCACGTGGCGAGCATGCATACAGTTTCAAATCAGCTGGGACCCACGAAAACAAACTTCTGTAACCGAACAACGTCGGCCCACGAAAAGGGTAATTATTTACCCAATTCCAAATATCAAAATCATTGGCCCAAGAATGATACTGGGCCTTTAGGCTTAGGACATGGTCCATTAGGCTTAGAACATGGGCCCAGGAAAAGGGTAAACAAGATTATGCACTCTATTGCACTCATCAAATTAAATCAACCAAATTATGCACTCTTCTCTACATTTTTTCAACACAAATTAAATTAAATCAAAAGAGGTCCTAATTAACTTATGCACTCTTTTGGTCAATTGCAATTATTAAAAGTTAACGAGTCGCAAACAAACCATAAGTGTTGTTTTTCTTCTTACGACTGATCACTCAAGTGTGACTGACTGACTTCTCAAAATTACGACCAACATTGACATATGTATGTATTTTTGCTTTTTAACCCCAAAAGAAAAATTCCAATTTCTTATTTTTTCGTAATCTAATCTAATGTTGCAGCCAAGGTACGGTCGCCAACTCATGTTTCCAACTTCCGTCCCGTTCCGACCCGGCAACAATTTTTACACATTTACAGACACATGTACAGAGCTTATATTTAACGGGAATATAAAATTTCAAAAAGGTGTCTCACTCTACAAAAGCATCTGAACCCCGTAACCGTACCCACCACTAATTGCAGAGTTAAAAAAGAAAAAAAAAAAAAAGCCCTCTCTTTCCCCTTTCACACACCCACACAGAGAAATTCATTCTTTCTGTGTGAAAATTCACTCACATTATCGTCCTCATCAAGCTCTACTCTACTCTCTCAATAGGGACAGGGTGTCACACTCCCAATCATGTGAAAGCCTAGCTACTTCACTTTAGACTTAGGGTTTTTTTTTTTTAATTTTCTCTCAATTAATCTTATCCCGATTTGGATGGGGAACTGCTGCAGATCTCCGGCCGCCGTCGCAAGAGAAGACGTCAAATCTTCCAACTTCTCCGGCCACGATCATGGCCGCAAGGACAAGTCCTCCTCCAACATTAAGAAAGCAATCACCGTTTTAACGGACGTTAAGAAGGAAAACATTGAGGAGAAGTATTTAATTGATAGAGAGCTCGGCCGTGGTGAATTCGGAGTCACTTATTTGTGCATTGACCGAGAAACCAGGGACCAGCTTGCTTGCAAGTCCATATCCAAGCGGAAGCTGCGGACTGCTGTCGATATCGAGGATGTGAGGAGGGAGGTTGCGATAATGAAGCACTTGCCCAAGAATTCCAGCATCGTCACTTTGAAGGAGGCGTGCGAGGATGAGAATGCAGTGCATTTGGTGATGGAACTTTGTGAGGGCGGGGAGCTGTTTGATAGGATCGTGGCACGCGGTCATTACACAGAGCGAGCAGCTGCTGCGGTGATGAAGACAATTATGGAGGTTGTGCAGCTTTGCCACAAGCACGGCGTGATCCATAGGGATTTGAAGCCGGAGAATTTTTTGTTTGCAAATAAGAAAGAAAATTCGCCTCTTAAAGCAATTGATTTTGGCTTGTCGATCTTCTTTAAGCCAGGTAAGTAATCAATTTTAGTCTCTATTTGATTAGTGGATGAATATAAGTTACTGACTTGTTTAATCAATTGCTATTGCTATCTAGATGATTTGATGTCGGAATAAGTGTTCGCTTGTTTGCAGATTTGAATATAGGAGTATCTATGGGTAGTGTTTGACTATTTAATTTATTTGTTATAATTTTATGGGTATGTTAGTTAGAAGATTATCTTGTAGGTTGGTTGTAGTTAATGCACCAAACGAAAAAATGATTAAGAGATAATAGTTAAAAAAATAATACCTTGATATCGAAATGGAAAGTTGGGTAATGTGACTAGAAATGCAAGGGTGCAAATTATGGAAACCACAACGGTTGGAAGTTGGGAGGAAGGATGTATTTGTGGAGGTTTTCTGCTGTGACAGGAAATTTTCTACTGTACTATGCCCAAATCAGCCCGAATCTAGATGCTAAGTATCAACTATAGAGTTTCAGGTAGGAAATGTGGGCTGCTGCTGGGAATGTATCAACTATAGATACATGACCTTGCTCCCTGAAAGTGGATGAGAAGCAACTTATTATTATTATGCTCTGCTTTCACTCCAAAGAACTTATATAAGAATATTAAAGTTTGAAATGGATCTGTGGTCTATAAGAAGCAGATTGTATAAAAAAAATCCCATATTGAGAATCTAAAGTTATCTCTGTATTCGTTTTAACATTTTCCTTTTTGTTGCATGCATGTGCGTTTAATGGATTTTGTACTTATGGAGGCTCTTTTACATTGTAATTACCTTGTAAACTCTTATTGGGTATCAGTATTTGATTCCACGGTGCAGGCTAGTGCTTTCTATAGAGGTTTTGAATTAAGCAATTACAGCTATGTTTGATGATTATAATCCAAAAATATGTTCCTATTTATCATTAATGGTATTATTATATTATGACTATTTAACTGTTGCATTCTAGGTGAGAAGTTTTCAGAAATTGTGGGAAGCCCTTATTATATGGCCCCAGAGGTGCTCAAGCGAAATTATGGGCCTGAAATTGATATATGGAGTGCTGGGGTGATTCTCTATATTTTGTTGTGTGGAGTTCCTCCATTCTGGGCAGGTATATTGGACTTTCTTCGTTTTTTGTAATCCCATTTGGACTAAATTACCTTTGGTTTATGTTCATCATTCTTGGGTCTTCTCATACCTACAGAATGTAAAATATACAAAAAATAACTCGGTGCAAACTTTTTACACAGAATCTGAACAAGGTGTAGCCCAGGCCATTATACGTGGGAAAATAGACTTCGAGCGTGAGCCGTGGCCAAGTGTATCAGAGAGTGCCAAGAACCTTGTAAGACAGATGCTGGAGCCAGATCCAAAGCTTCGACTGACTGCGAAACAAGTTCTTGGTATGTGTGTTGTATGTAAACTTTTTTTTTCCTTTTTGTTGATTATATTTCATTGGATTTTGGATTTTTGAATAATATTTTTGTGCTGATTAGTTCAATATTTATTATTTTGTAGTCTTTGTAGAATGCTTTTGGTGTTTTACTATGCAAATACTAAACGTTTGTTCTTCCTCGTTATTTGGCATTGATAGAACACTCTTGGCTTCAAAATGCAAAGAATGCTCGGAACGTTCCACTTGGGGATGTTGTCAAGTCGCGATTGAAGCAGTTCTCATTGATGAATAGATTCAAGAGGAAGGCTCTTAGGGTCAGTTGATGCTTATAAGTTATACCTTTATCAATCTTTACCACAGTTGCTTTTACTTTTATCTATCTTTTCTGCAGTTATATTTTTTGCTGAAATATTTATACTCGTGCTTCTTTGATTAGGTCATTGCTGATTTCTTGTCTAATGAAGAAGTTGAGGGTATCAAAGAGATGTTTGGTAAGATAGACACTGATAATGATGGTGTTGTTTCAACTGAAGAACTAAAGGCTGGAATGCAAAAATTCAATCCACAAATGGCCGAGACTGAAGTGCAGATGCTCATTGAAGCTGTAAGTCTTGAACTTTATAACTTTAAACTTTTCAGTTTGAAACTATGTAGTGTTACCCTAGGTTATTCTTAGGTAACTGTTAACTTTAGATAGTCAATTTCTTTCTTTTTTATGCTTTTCATTCTCGAAGTTTTGCATTTTTTCCAGTGGGTAAATTGATATATTTCTTGCCAATAGGTGGATACAAATGGTAAAGGAACGTTGGACTATGACGAATTCCTTGCCATTTCACTCCATTTACGGAGGATGGCGAACGATGAACATCTCCACAAAGCTTTCTCCTATTTTGACAAAGATGGGAATGGTTACATTGAGCCTGAAGAGCTTCGACAAACCTTAATGGAAGATGGAGTTGATGATTGTACAGATGTGGCTAATGATATTTTCCAGGAGGTTGACACTGACAAGGTGGGAATAAATTGTCTTGCACCCGTTAGATGTATTAACTATATATTATTATTACGTGGAACGTTTCTCAGAACTCACAATGTATTTCCTCTTGAATGCAGGATGGAAAAATTAGCTATGATGAATTTGTAGCCATGATGAAAACTGGGACAGATTGGAGAAAGGCTTCTCGACATTATTCGAGAGGGAGATTCAATAGTTTGAGCATAAAGTTGATGAAGGATGATTCTATTAAGTTTGGTGAGTAAATATAAGCTAGTTATTTTGTTTCTTTTTACCTGTATGAATTAGTTAAATCGATCATTGTTTGTGGCATGCCTTGTATTAATCGGTGTTCAGTTTGATTGGTGGATTATTGATGAGGCAAAGTATATCTGATTATTAGCCTTCTTCATGGAGTTGATTAGTAAAACGCAACCTTCCAGCCCGTTCGAGTCCATATTCTCTCATCTCTATCAGCTTTTGTTTCTACTGTTGTTTCCTATTGACAATTATTAAATGAGACATTTGGCTTTTGTAGTGTATATTTGCTCAAAGGGACTTTCCCTTGAATGCATATTCAAGTTTGTGCAGATGATTTTTGTTTATTTATTTATTATATTTATTTATATTGTTTGTGTTGGATCAAATATGAAATAGGGTAAGTCATGATATGGAGACAACTCATACTATGTAAATCTGTCTAGGAGTATATAGATAAGACGCAATGTATGCAGGAAGGCTAAACAACTGAACAGGCCAAAAAACAAAGACGTGCTTGTGTTCATTTGCAATTGTTGGCACGTGACTTGTGCACTTGAAAACAAAGTCTCGGTTCCCTTTTGCACCAAATTATCATGTGATTTCTAATATTACATTAAGCAGTTTATAAACAATAATTGGCCCTTAGTGTTTGATAATTAATGTTAAATATTTTTCTACAAAATTATGACAAAGTCGTGAATTACAAACAAACCCCTTTTGCTACGAGCTTAATTATTTATCAAGATAGAAAACATATATTATGGTCATTATTTAGAGTAATACAGAGTGACCATTTAATTTCAAGCAGTGAACCATGCAAGAAACACTATTTGATTTCATTATTACTGATTCGAGGGATTGTAAATGCGCGGCAGCAGCTGCGATTGGAAGGCAGAAACACTCCAGGGGAAGCTGATTTCTTGTTCTGTATATATATTATTATCCAATCCATCAACACAAAACATACTTAGGCTTTGGTGATGTGAACCAGCTGGATTGAAAAATCCAGAATGTTTGTGTACATGTGGCAGAATGACATCATCCTGGATTTTGATCCTCTTTTGAGCTCGAAATTCGTCTTTGGACATCACTTCAGAATCCGATTCAAATTCCTTGCCAATATTTGACTGATCAGATTCTTCACTGAGAGAAGGCATTGATAATATTGGAGAATATGGCTTTACGGGCTTTGTTCCAGGGGCTCGGTTCTTGTATTCATCCATTATTTTGTCTAGATATCTTCCCTGTGCTTCAATTTTCGTCTTCAAGCTTTTCTGAACCTGCATAACACAAATGTTTGAAACTATTTCGAAAAGTAGCATTGATCAAATTTATTGGTACTGGTAGATTTGTGGAGTTATGTACCTCAAGTTGATCGCTCAATCGTCTTTGTGCTTCCATCTGTATAAGCAAGGCTTCATTTAGCTGAGCACTCCTAAAAGTATATGTAGATATAAATTAACGGACGGTACATTAAATAAAGATTGGAGAAGCAAATATGAATCCCAAAGAACATATAAGTTTGGAATCAACTGACGAGATAGCACTGAAGTTTGGGAGCATCTCCGATGCACTTGTTTTTTCAAACTTTCCTCCTGCATGTTTTAAAAGGGGTACCATTAAGTCACCCTTGTAAGAACAACAAGTTGATGGAGGGGAAAACAAATAGTTGTTAACAAGATGGATGGATAGTTAGATTTACCAACGTGGTCTTCTTCTCGAGTAAATACTGACATCCTGTATTTCTGTAGACACGGAGAAATCGGGAATCAGAGACGGCATGCTTATGTTGCAACATGCTGAGAGAGAGAGAGAGAGAGAGAGAGAGAGAGAACCTGTAAATGACTCTTGACATGTAAGATAGTGAGTTCAGGAATTGCCATAGCCCTCAAAATACCTCTAGGAGTAGCCCCTGGGGAAGACCAAGCATTAGAAGATAAAAATGCAATGATACATATATAATCTTGAATGATCATAAATCACTTACTATCTGGACCTCCAATCTGATGGACTGCCTTCTCAAACAAATCGTGCAGTTCTTTAGTCCATTTTAACCTCTCCTTTGATGAGTTATTACAACGATTGGAGCCCATATCTTCCCCCACTGGGCGACTGACTTCGCAACCCCGCTAGGCAATAATGGCACCAGCTAACACTTCTTACTTATTAAGGGTATTTAAAATATAAACAAAGGACAAAACCAATTGACAGGAAAATACTAGGCGATTTGAGCTAAGATTAGATGATGTAGATGTCAAGATACCCAAAATCATCATCACTTGTCGGAGCAAACCATGTTTTAAAAAAAAATTAAAAAATTCGATATCATAATTGTCTAGTTTGTATCATCTATTGAAGAAACCTAAAGTTACGATAATTCCACACGACAGTTGGATCTGCAACTAACAACTACCAGCCAAAGAAAGACAGACAGCTAGATCTTAATACTTGCTGCTTGCGAAATGGACTTAAATTCCTAAATCTTGAGGGAAATTTGTTAAATATGTTACTGTCATGCAATTAAATAACACCCATATCAAATTCAGCAAGAGACACGTACATAACAAAATAGATCCCTTGATTTGGAGTAGCAAGCAAATACTTCCAAAGTTGAATGCAACAAACTCAATCTCATTAATTTTAATGATACATCAAGAACCATGGAATAGAAGAAGCCATAAAATATATCATAACATCTGAATAAATGGAAAAGGACTCCTATATAGAAGAAGCTAAAACATTGAAACAAGCACCTAAAATACGGAATAAGACATGTTTTATCCCCCTCGAGAACAAACTGTTATTGACATCACAAAGTTATCCACTACAAATAGTTGAGAAGCAATATTTGCTATACTAGTTTGTCAGGCATCACCGAATAATAACCACTACTGCCTGCCCTTTTTCATGCATGAAGGGCATTTGTATTGCTTGATGCTCTCAGCTTTTGCAGGAGTTATCTTCACGCACTTCCCATGGTACCACCGCTCACAGATGTCACACCCAATCCAGAACTCATCTGCATTGTAATTTCCACCGCAGCTTCCACACAGTGTTTCGCTATGTTCGTCTTCATCTTCTTCAAAACTTTCCTCTGCCAGCTTTGGGTTGCTCTTTGCCTGGCCATCGCTAGATCTCTGCAAGTAAAGACAAACATTACTGAAGCTCAATCACTGGCTTGAATAGAAGACCATTTCCCCAATGGAAGAAGTAAAAGCGTGACATATGGACTTAAAAAAGGAAACTAAACCAACTCCCGATGAGAAGCCACGGTCAGAAGTAGCCTTCATCAGCTTTATACTTGGCTAACATTTTAATCTCGATTCAAAAGATTTTAGTATACTAACATATGATCACTCAGACCTAGCAACAAACGGTTAAACTTGAGGTAATCCTACCTTTATGCTGCCACGAGATTTGCTCCCACTATCTGCACTGATCTTGTCTTTTATGGGCTTCCTTTCTGTTACCACCTCAAAGACTGTTGGCAGCTCATTGATCAAGCTGTACAGGCGCTTCCTGTATATTCAGTTAACATATTATGTACAACCACAAAGTCCCTCACCAAGTATACTGATCTAGCAGAAAAATATATAACAAAATATACAACAATAAATCAGGAGTTGTTGGCTCTAAAAGATTCGCGGGTCGAAACACCTGAAGAACCGGTTCCAGCAATAAAAATTTAACACATGTTTAATTGAAATCATACTTAATGTTTTACTAGAGTGGCACAAAACAATGTGAAAATTAAATGTTATCAAATCCACTGAAAAAGTTTGTCCGCAAAATGGACAGCAAATAATATAATTAATAGGTTCTGTAGTACACTTGAACCGCGGTAATTATTCATGCCATATATGCTTGTGAAACTGAATAGCAGATACAGTTTCCCAAGTACATATACTTCAATTAAGACAGCATTCAGGCTGAATAAAGATAAAAATAGAGAAGGGCCATCAAAGTCCTGAACACGACATCTTTGATAATCCTTATTTAATTTGGGATTCTACAGAACCAGATTGAAATATCCAGTGAATTTAACATAGGAAGACCTCAGTAATATGAAAATCAGTTTTACCAAATCAGCCTTCAAATCTACTACAAAATTCTCTAAATCATTCTTAGTTCATGCAAAAGATAAGCATGAGAAGAAGATCTAGTCAATGCATAAACCATAAGATGTGGTTTCGAAGATCATTGAAACACAATTTATACCTTTCATTGCGGTTCAGCCTGGCTCCAAGGTAAAAAGCCACAGAGAGCAACCAACAATCACTATGCACAGCAATTAGTGAAAGCCAGTCTCTTCGATTCATCCCATCTCTGGCGAAATTGATTCCAAGTGCTGGCTCTGGCAGCTCAGGTGGAACTTCTTCGGCTGGGAGATTTACTTCCCAAGTTTCATTTGAGTGTCCATACAAACACAAATTTTCCTTCTCTAGTATAAGTAAAGTTGAGAAACCAAAAAATTGATCAAATAGAGAAATGAAAGATTACAAATATGTTAAAACGATAAATCATAAACATAGGAAATGATAATGAACTGACATTCAGAAAGCATAATGCAAGTACTTTGCTCTGCCCAAAGGTTCTTCACCAATAAAACAGGACATGTGTCGGTTGTATGGTTATTTTGTTCGAACACGGAGCTAAAGGCGGAAAAAAGCAGTTGAACTTGTATTTTTCATATTCTAATTGTCAATAAACTAAGTTCAACTTAAATTCAAATCAAATAGTTTTATACCATATACGAATTACCCATAAAGGGAAGCAAAAAAAAAAAGAGACGCAAACAAGGTTATTCGTTACAGATAGCATAACAGAAAGATTCCTCAGTACAAAAATAAAAGAAAAAAGAACCCCTTCTTGTAACAATTAAAAACACAAATGGGTTTCCGTTCGGCTATTTGTTCTTCTTTTCATTACCAATACCATTACGAGCTAATCTACCCAACTAATAAAAATCCGATCTCGTCAAAGAAAACAAGTGTGCCAAAATTCATCAAAATCCCCTTCCTTTTTAACCAATTTACACAAGAGAAGGGAGTCAAACTTCCATATAAATAAGAGATTGAAAACACCATAAAATTAAGTACAAAAAAGTCAACTAAACTGAATCTGAACTAAAAAGATTTACCTGGATCACAGAGCCCGTAAAATTCATCTACATCTGAAAAAAAAAAGGAAAAAAAAAATATCCGACTCGATTACAAATTTAGCAATAATTAACAGCACATTTATAATTTTGTATAAATAAAAAAATGTAGAGAAAGCTACCAAAAGTTAAAGCGCGAACGATTCCAGCGCGACGAGAACTGAAATCTTTGAAGATCTCCTCGACAGTTCTCGGACTTGATGAAACCGAAGCCATTTAAGGGTATAACTGGGTAGATCTATAATCTATTGTGTAAATACAAACATATACATGAATAAATGGAGAGAATCATACAGAATTGCAGAGAGAGAAAAAGAGGGTGAGAAGGGAGTCGAGTGTGCATGTAACGTGAGAATCAAAACAAGAGGCAGGTCAGGAAACGACGCAACGCCGTCGTTTAACTGAAAAGGGCACACCAGGACCTGGATATTTCCGCTTGCTTCTTTACACTCCGCTTTCTTCTCACCAATTTCTTTCTTTTCTCCCTTCTCAAATTATTAAATAACCAACCCCACGAGGGTACCCTCGTCATTCTCTTGTAATATTTTCTATTTTATTTTATAACTCTTTTAGAATTATACATTATTTTGATTCACCAACTAAGAGGGTGTTTGGCTAAGCTTATTTTAAACAGCTGATAAGTTCTTACATCTGATAAGATGTTTTAAGACTTATTTCCTATTTTTACTCATTAAAAGATCTTAAATAAAAAGGTGGGGTAGAGGTACTTATTTAAAAAGATCTTATTTGCTCTCCAACAGCTTATTTTAAAAACAAATTAACATCTTTTTCTAAAAATTTACCAAACACTTTAAAAGAGCGTATAAGCTCTAAAACATCTTATAAGCTCCTTTTAACATCTTATAAGCTTAGCCAAACACCCTCTAAGAGGGTGTTTGGCTAAGCTTATTTTAAACAGCTGATAAGTTTGGGGTAGAGGTACTTATTTAAAAAGATCTTATTTGCTCTCCAACAGCTTATTTTTTTAAAAAATAAGATCTTTTTCTAAAAATTTACCAAACACTTTAGAAGAGCTTATAAGCTCTAAAACATCTTATAAGCTCATTTTTACATCTTATAAGCTTAGCCAAACACTCTCTAAGTCAGCTTTACTAGCAATAATAATATATCTAATTTATTTATTTTTTTCTTTAGATATCGATTTTTAATTAATATGTGGGCTTCATCTAAACTGTTATTTTATGAAGCATGTGATGGATTTAATATTGTGTTATGATGGGCCTAGCAGTAAGGCCCAAAATAAAGAAAAACATATTAATGAAATACCCAATAGACCCTTTAGAACAGAAGCCATAAGAAGGCCCCGATGATGCAAATTGAATAATGTTCATAAATAAGGTATAATACTACTCAATATATTTCAAATTGATAATTTTTCTGTCTCAAATTAAATTTCGATTTAATTATGCCAGCTCGAGTCACACACCAAAGCATTTATTGATCTCAGGCTTCAATGCACCATTGATGATCCCTGAGAACTGAAAGAAGGTACAGAACAAATGGGTTTTTTGAGGTCACTTTTATTGTGAGTTATAACAACTGTCTAACAAAAGAATGAATAAAATGGTCACAAAAACTGTTGGGCAACAATAACTTTGCCCAACGCCATCATATAATAAAGTTAAACTACTCCATGAAACCGACAACCAACTCTCATCAACGACCACAATTCATTGCCCGCTACTTCCAAAAACAAAATCCTACGGCCACCAAGAAGAATCTATAAACTTGTTAATGAAAAGCTCATCTGTTTAACAGCACAGACCACAAAAAGAAAAAAAGATTAAAATAAATTTCAAAAAAACAAAATGTTTGGATAAATAAACATCTAAAAAAATTGAGGGAAACCTAAACAACTGTTTGAAAAAGGAAAAAAAGAAATCCGGCATTAATCAATTTCCAGCCCCTGCGGAATAAGACAAACCAAGAAAAAAAACAGCACAAGCTTACACGAAGAGTACGGTGTCTTCATCCACTAATGTTCATGAAGATGTTAACAACCGCTTAATCCCAGATTTTTGCTCGGAAGTAAGCCTGCTAGGAAACTTAATGTTGAACTTGATTCTCATATTACCCTTTTTGCCAGGTTCCTTTGGGATGGGCATACCTTCTCCTTTAACAACTTCTTCATAGGTGGGACTAACAATGTTATTAACGGATATCGTTAGATTTCGTCCGTCAAGTGTACTCACTTGTGCAGTATAGCCAGTCAGAGCTTCGACCAATGAAATCTTTTGGGTAGCAATTAGATCGTTGCCATCCCTTTTGAAGACTGTGTGAGGCTTTTCATCAATAATGAAGACTAAGTCAGAGGGGATCACACCTCGTTGTTCATTTCCCTTCTCAGGAAATGTTATCTTTGTTCCCTTCTTCCACCCTGGCTTTATTTCGATCGTAAGAATCTCCTCCGTAGTAGAGGGTCTCCTGCCAGTATAAGAATAAGAGTAATCAAGAAGCTATATAAGCCTTGTGGCCTAATAAAATGAAAAACAATGGAACATTCTGACTATTTAGAGTCAAAGAGATGGGTAAGTCAACCCTGGTTAAGGGCCTTAAGGGAAGGACATCATCCATCAGGACATCTCAGATTCTGAAAGGCAGATACTCATATAGAAGATTAATAACCAATTTCAAAGAACCAGAAGAATGCCATGTCTCTATTGGTCACGTCAATCGTAAATGAGTTGAATGATTTGCATGCATGGCTTGCATTAGTAAGGTCTCTAAATTTGTATACCATACTACAAAAAGAGCTTTTTTGCACGGGTTTTCTAGATTCTCGATTAGAAAAAACCATATGATTAATTTGACACAGTGACCTAAAAGGCTAAAACGATAAATCGAGTGAAGTAATACTTATGCAGAAAATTGAACTCATAACCTAGCAACAAGATCACATCCAAATGAATTTGGCCAAGCTGATATCTTCCATTGAAGGGAAATGTGCTTGCACAATAAAATTCAGATGCAGTGAATTGGGGAAGTGAAACTTCTGAGCCTTTTTATTGTTTTATTTTCTTGCTTTATCAGAAAGCATATATTTCACAAGGTGGATAAGTTTGTCCCCTATATGGGATAAAATTTTGAGAATGAAAATTAGTCAACAAATTATATCACTTACGACACCAACACGTGCTATACAAATTCAGCAGATACTATTTCTATGGGGAAGCAAATGAGGTAAATCAGACGCCAAAATGATACGATTGATATGACAAAGGTTTTACTATAGCAAAATAAAATAAATATGGGACCCATTACGCATTTATTTGATATACGACTTGCCATGTACTACTCTTGTTAAAGTTTGACACAAAGCGTAACAGTCAAGCACTTTATCTGGTCTTTAATGTATAGGTTCATCATATATAGCAGCACAAACGAAACAAGCATCAAAATTTGGAGTACAGAAAGTGGCTACATGAAGCTCTTAACCAGATCTGATAAATATAAGATTCTGGCAATGTGGCAGAAACAACACCTATACAACGTGTGCTTGATTTGCAAGAAGATGGGATTTGGACAAGGGAATCTAATTAATATTAATACTAATAAGTTGACGGATTTCCCATCACTCTATAGGCTTGACAAATACCTCTATTGGCAAAACTCAAAGAAATTAATTTTTAGCAAGTTTTGTCCTTTTTCGTTTATATGACCATCTCTTATCCCCTCCACGTGGTGCGTTTCTCGTTAAAGTAACAAATCATAGCTCTATCCTAGATATATAGAATAGTGTGCACATTTACTTTGTTCGATAATCAATAAACGAATCCCAACCAGAGAAGTTAATAGAGTCAATTAAAGGCTACACTGGCATACTTATTATTTTAAGAGAACACTAATCGATCAAAGTAAGTAATTTATCTTAAATGACGCTAAGCATGAGAAAGCTACCAAACAAGATAGATTATCTTTCAATGACGACAAGTCGACAACACAATAATCTAGAACATAACCATGTTGGCTTTATACTTGTTTAAGAGAAAATATTAGCATCTTGCACCAAACCAACACTGGTCCCTTATAAACAAAAAATTGACCGAACAAGTATAAAGCCCCACACCAAATTTTGCAATTTTCTACTTACACAGAGACAAATTACATGCAGAAAACTCCATTTTAACAAACCAAACCAGATAAATTAATTTCAAACACAAGTAACCATAACAATGAACAAATCAAATATTAAGAAAATATCAAGATTGAAGACATTACCCACTGGCATCGGTAACATCACGTGATATCTTCATCTTCTTGGTAGTCCCTTTATACAAATCCTCCAAACTACACGGTAACATCCGTTCAATAGCAGCCGCCTTTCGTGGCACACCACCCGAACCCCCTTCCCCACTTGCAGCAGCATTTCTAAGAGAAGCAAAAATATCATCCCCGAACATACTCCTGGAAAAACCTGATGCACCCGCTCTGGACCCTCCGCCCATATCTCCCATCCCTCCAAAAGGGCTAGTAAATCCAAAAAATTCAGAAAATATGTCATCAGCACTGCGTGGATTGAACCGAAATGTGGTGCTGCCACCTCCATCCCTACCGGCGGAAAAACCTCCGGCGCCGGGCGGCGGAACCTGCCCCTTGAGACCTTCCTCGCCAAACTGATCATAAACCGCCCTCTTTTGTTGATCACTTAATACCTACATTAAATAAATAAATAAATAACTGGAATTGCACACAAAATAGAAGGTAAAAAACAGTAATTACGTCGTAGGCTTCGGAGATTTGCTTGAACTTGGCTTCTGCTTCTTTTTTGTTATTAGGGTTTTTGTCGGGATGCCATTTCATAGCGAGTTTGCGGTAGGCTTTCTTGAGGTCGTCGTCTTTGGCGGAGCGGTCCACCTGCAGTACCTTGTAGTAGTCCACACCCATGATTTTCTCCTCTGAGTATCTCTATCACCACCTCCCTCCTCCACTCTCACTCTCTTCTTCTTCTCCAATTTGGGATTTCACCCACTTCTCTCTCTCTCTCTGTATTAAAATAAAATAAAAAAATAAAAAATAAAAAGTAATATGGATTTCTTTACGGACTGACGTTTTCTTAATGTGTTTTATGGGTGTCAAAATTGGGCCTTTGGCCCAACATGTATGAAATTTGGCATGCAGATTATGGCCCAATTAAGGTGCATATTTTGGGCCTTTGGCCCAAACATTCCATCAAAAAAAAAGATTAATTTATTTAAATAAGAAATTTTTATTAATTAATGAAAATAATAAATATAAACATCGAGTTTGAACTGTAGTGGTGGTAGATTCAAAGCCACACATAGAAGGTGGAATATACCCCGAACATAAGCAATAGTCCAACATTATATCCTGATTGCAACTTTATTAGGGATAAGAAAGATGATTTCAGTTTATTTTTTGGATATTTGCTTGCAAGTTGATGTTAATTAATTAATAAGAAAATAAGAAAGAAAAATCCCAGAGGAAGAAAAATGTTTCAACTGCTTTATAAGAAAGGACAACTTGTTCATTAATATTCAAGTGGAAGGAATTTAATACGCACAACTGCAATATTCTTGACCTCATGCTTTAATTACAAAACATACACAATGTCCGAAATCTGAATCAAATGGTGAATCATATTATTAATCTTTGCTCACTTCCTGCAAAAAAAGTATGCAAGAACACACACACACACACATGATGAAGAAAAGAAAAAAAGACAAAAGGAAACATAGGATTCAAGTGAAGCAGAATCGGAGAAGTAACTTGACGGATTTGTACTTGTTTCCCTTATAATCGTGGAGTGGCACAGCTCGAATACCGGATTTCAACTCAGAAATAGGAAGGCATGTTTGGCCACCAAAATCATCCTTTTCTGAAACGTCGAATTCATGCACTTCTACTCTAAGCAATGCCAACTCCGGAACCGACATTGGGAACTCAAACTCTTCGTTCCAAACAGGCATCCAATTGTCTGCTATTATCTCAGTCTTTTTCATAGCTGAATCAGACGGAATTCCAGCAATTCCTATCTGCATTGTACAAACATGTATATTAACACCTAAATCTCACATAAACAATTTTTTTTAAATAACCGAGTTTGCTAATTAAGATCTTATTGGCAATACCTTGACATAGAAGTCCGGTGGGGAATACGCATCGAAATGAGTACTTTTAAAATCCAGATTCCAACCTACTCCCATGTATATCTTGATCTGAATCATATTAACACATAATTTTATAAAAAACCAATGAGATATATTTGAACTAATTGAAAAAAAAATGTTTAGTAACGCGTACCTTGAGGGTCGTTTTTACGGGTAAGCTCCCTTTAGGATCAAAGACTTCATTATTCGGGCCCTTCTTCAATAGAAAATCCGGTTTTTTAACATAACCGCAGCCACCATTTGCTCTAAACATCCCTTGCATCAACCAAAGAGACCTTCCATGGCTCTAAAGCAAAAGGAAAAATTATTAAAAAAAAATAACAAAACAAAAAATAAATAAAAGAAAATAAAATTACATATATATGAGCTACCTGCATGTTAAATGCAACCATCTGAGCTCCATGTATCCACCCTTTAAATGGATTGTAGTTTGACGAGTCAATCCTCATAGCTTTCGGATACACTCTCATCAAGTTCCTCTGATTGAATCTTTATTACACAATATTCCTCATTTTAATTACTCATAAGAAATAATAAAAAGCAACTAATTAATTTCATTGAAATATCGTGGGATCACGAGTTTGTATTTACCTGACGATTTCAGTTCCGTGAGTTGGAGCAGCTTTTTCGAGATTTTCTTCGTTCAAGCTAACCCTATGAGCCTTTTTCAGATCAACTCCAAGCCATGCTTTAATTCCTCCTTTCATTTTCTCCGCACGGATTGCAATCAATTGCTTGTATTTAAGCGCTGCATCTTGCTCTAAGTCGTCATCATCGTCTTTATACTCTCCTTCATCTTCGTGAACGAACTTTACAGCTAAATCTGCGATTTCTTTCCCCCAAACAGGTTCTTCAGATGATTTCTTCACTACTTTTACGCCGCCATCATCTACTTGTTCGTTCAAGCTCTTTGTTTGATCAAGATATTCTTTTGGAGCCTTTGTCGAGATAATAACTCGTCTTTTCAGTGAATCTGGACATTGAAATTCTTGCAGTGATGATTCTGATGTGGAGCAAATCAGTGTCTCTCCAAATGTTTCGGACACCATCTGCAAAGTTTAACATAAGTATTTGTTACCGCAATAAAATCGAAAAGAGAGTTACATAACTGCGAACCGCAAACTCACCTCTGCTACTTTTGCCTGAAGTGCCGGTGTGAGGTGGTCTTCCAGTGTAATAATCACCGGATATTCCGATGCAACAAACGCGTTCTCTCTTATTGCTTTCAAACAATCGATGAGTTTCACCGGACTTGTTAAAGTTCTGTCTTGAGGAAAGACCAAATCAGTGAGTGATGCAAGAATATATAATATATATTGAAGTACTCAAACAAGAAATTGAAGAAGAGAATTTTGACATACCCTCCATGCATTATATGGATATCGTCTTTATCGGAATTGGGCCACATATCTAATTCAATAACTCGAACACCTCTTTTCAGAGCTTCGATAATGGGAACCACACTTGAGTCGCTACTGATCTGATTCCCCGTTAGATAAGAATTATGACCGGTGTATATGAAGTAATGGGATAAAGGAGCTGCCATATCATGGTGCACCTGGTTAAACATACACAATCGTATTTATGACTGTTAATGCATCATACATGAAAAAAACATGTTAAATGAATACATAACATGAACATATATACCTTAGGAGGATGAGAGAGAGGAGCGTTAATCTCACTCAGAAGGTACCGAAAAAACTCTTTAATGGAGAGGCTTTTAGGCTGCAAGATGTTGAGGTTTTTGAAAGACTTCATCACGGTCTCAGCTTCCTCCCTGGTGAGTTTATCATCTCCCTGCACCTCGATCAAGAACTTGTGAAAATGCTCGATATTCATTAGTCCATTTTCCGAGTAATTTTCGAATAAAGCTTTGATATCAGCTGGAACTTCAGCCTCTTTCAGATTGAATTTCCTTGAGAAACAACAACATACTCTGTATGATTGCTTTGACATGTCTGTTTTTTCTTTTGCTTTTTTTTTCTTCTTTTGCTTCTTACTTAGTAGAGATGGTGGTGGTGGTTAGAAAAGTTGTGGTTTTTTGGCATGTTTTTGTCTTGGAAGAGACAAGCTAAGGGCTTATATGATTTTAATTTAATATGGCCGACCACGTGTTATCTTCCAGTTGGCTGTTTGAAATTCATTGATTAATTAACCATAATCCACATGGCCCTGTGAAACTCCTTGATTAATTAACCATAATCAAGTCAACATGGAGCAATACCATCCACAAGTGCTTAGTTTAATGATCAAAATAATGTCACTTGATTAATCAAAATTATCCTAAGATTAACACCCGAGTCAATCAGAAAAATCTTGATTGCATGATACATTTCTGAATAAAAAAATTCATTGGCACATGTATCATCCAACTTCTCAAGTGTCATTTTTTCCAACCACCAGCCAGAATAGTTATAAATGGATACTCTGTAATGAAAAATGTAAAATGTAATATAAATGTTATTGTGTGTACAAACGTTGTAAGAATAAACCATTGATTACTTGTCTTCTAGTGGCCTCAAGAATCCACATTTAGATGGCATATGGTAAAGTAACACGTGAGATGACTGTTGGAGGCAAAAATAAAAGCTAATGTGGAGTCACAAACATGATCATATATAGCTTGGATGAGTTAAAAAAAAAAAAAAGAAAAAAGAAAAAAAAAAGAAAAAGAAAAAAAAAGTGGAAGGGAGCAGAATCTTGTCAATTTAGTCATCTTTTTAAAAAGTAAAATGAATTATATAAAATGGGGGCCAATAAATATCAGTGGCTCAAAAATAGACTAAACAGGGCCCTCCCTACCTTGTCTGAAGAAATTTGTACATGCAATTTATCTGACACCTTCATTACATATTAATTCCTTTTCCTTGGGCGATTCAAAACGTGATCAGGGAAAACAGTAGTACTAGTTCAAATTAATAAATTAAATTTGGACAATTACAATTTACAACGCAATTAAAAAGGATTCAAACCATAAAGTTTGTATCCAATTATTGAAAGAAATTAAAGAGCGTTGCTGTCTAATAACAATACAAACCGGCATTTTGGAAATGGACCACGTACTATATATTTTTCTCCAAGTTGTAATAAAATATATATCGTTATGCATATCTTCAAATTTAATTATTGAATCCCCATTTATTTATTTAATTTAAATCTAAACATATTCCAGATGCACAGAGATAGATCTGAAAGAAATTTGAGGATGGGAAGAGATGGCAAGGACGAGTATGGGGACAACATACTTGTCAGTCAATTCGGTGATGATATCAATACTTACTTCAAACAAAGACTTTCAACTTTTAATTCTCGCGGCCACAAAATTTTCTGCTGTCACAACTACTATTCATTTCTGTCAGTAGCTCATAAAGAAAGAGACCTGCCTAATTTTATAAGAAAAAGAAAAGAACACATTTAATGAATATATCAGCTCATAAAGTATATACTTGGAAAAACTTACTAGTAACTGGAACAAACCTCGTTCACTCATGCCTTGTAATGAAAAAAACTTTCATTTTGCTATTTCTAACTGGATTTTTTACATGCACCTTCATTTAAAGTTTAAACTCTCTCTCGGATATAACAATGCGATCCGTGTATGCCGACATGGAAATGCGGAGCGACCGTAGAAACCAAAATCTACTAATGAAAAAAAAATGACAAATTTATGAAGCTTGTTTAGATGAATTCATTTCACACCCTTTGATCCCATTTTGATCTATTTTCTTGAGTTGTTGCTGTACTTGATTTATTTGAAATCCAAATTTGTCCATCCAAATCTAACCTTCTTATATGTGAATTTCTTCCATTTGCATTCCCTGCAATTTTTCTATCTTCCATTTGTTCCATAATTAACGAGTAATTTTATTACACATTTCTTTTAAAAAAGTTTACGTTAACCTTTACCAACGCAAGTCTTGCACTCTTACTAACAGGGCCGGCCCTGGGTTGGGATGAGCAAGGCCCAGGGCCCAATTATTTTGCGGGCCCAAATTTTCATTTTTTATTATATGCAAAAAAATATTGTTTCATTGAATAAAAAAAGTAAATGATCAATGAATTAAAGATTAGCTAATATAAAACCTCAATCTGGTACAAGCACAGAGCCGTTTAATTTACCATTAAGATCATACAATTTGGCCTCTACATTTTTTGTCAATCAGGTGCTTAAGAGAAAAACAATATTAAAACTTGCAGTCATTAACCACTAATTAAATTAAACTTTCTTCTTTAACAAAATTATAAAGATGGGAGCCAGAAATTCAAATTTCCCGAGGCCAATACGGTAAATTTATTGATCACGCGACAAAGGCCAACCAGCCTGTCCGCCCGACCTTCTCTCGTCAAACACTCACCGGAGCAATCCTCTCTCTCTCTCTCTCTCTATTGGAAGACCAGATCCGAAGAAAATCGACATTGCTTCGGATCTCCAGCGGCGGTCTTTTCTTCCTCCCCGCCAGAAATGGGGGATTTCAATTTAGCCCTAGTGCTCGTTGCGATAATCGTTTGTGTGCTTGTCTTCATATTCAATGTGTATCTACTCGTTAATTACCAGCATCCTGATGACGCCAATCAGGCATACTTCCCTAAATTTGTCGTCGTCTTGGGGCTCTCCGTCGCCGCCATTTCTATTTTAATGCTGCCGGCCGACGTTGCCAACCGGCAGGCATGTCGTCACGCGATTTATAACGGCGCTTGCAACCTCACGCTCCCCATGAAGGAGTTGTGGCTCGCTATTTACATTCTGGATGCAATCCTTGTTTTCTTCGTCATTCCGTTTGCCATGTTTTATTACGAAGGAGACCTAGACAAGTTAGAAACCCTTTTCAAATTTAATTTTTCGTTTTCTGTAACGATATTAGTTGCGTTTTGCACGACAATTCTGATTGGCTGTGGTGTTTTCAGGACTGTGTGGAAGAGGATGAAAAGTGCATTGGTTTGGGTGATTGTTACAGCTATTATTTGTGCCCTCGTTCTTGGAATTTTATACGGTATATCCTCTATAAAACTTTGTTTCTCATATTACGGCAATGTCGCGGATAAACGGGGTAAAATGTGATAAGTAAGCTCTGGGTTACATAAGTTTCTTAGTCTTAGTTGGGAAGCCTCAGCTTCTCTAAGCCCAACTTGTCGGTTCTTATGTGATGATTAAGTTATTTAGCGCATCTCAAGCAGATTGTTGTCAATGTCATGTTATTCATTTTATATTCAACTTATATGAACAGATCATCATTCAAATTTATGTTTGTTGCTAACATCTTCATATCTAAGTTCATTTGATTACTTCAAAATTTCATTCTTATCTATCCGCGATAACTGACATTGTTTTCCTCGCATCATCATGTATGCAATGTAATTGTTTTCTTTTCTATTCATGGTTGTTGGATGATACTACATCTACAATTTGCTGACAGTTCCTGCAAATTTAACATGTTAAAAGAAAATTGATTCCACTGCTAAACACGGTGTGTACATTTCTGTGCCATGGAATAAATTGGTGGCATCAGATTACTTTTTTTCTACATAAATGTGTGCCATCAGTGTGATTAAACTTTATATATACAAGCTCCGTCGTGTATTTTTATTTTGTAAAAAATAGAAAGGATTTTTAGGAATAATATATTATTGAGAAACTAAGATTAGTATTCACTTTTGTGTAATTTTCGGATTGTCTATGCCCTAGGGGTTGTGGGGAAGGTGGACTTCACTGTTAGGCACCTCTCTTCATCCACTACATCCTTCCCGTCGTCGTGGAGCTTCTCCGAAAGTCAACAATGTATCGATAGTGGAGCAAGACAGGTCAGGAAGCATATTGATTATTTAAGTAACTGGTTGGTTTTACTTCGTCAATTATACTAATTTGTTCTCATTTATTTTCTTTTTTCTATTTTCAGTGTTCTGCATATATTGCACCTGCTTCATCTGAGACAACTTGGACCATGCGCACTACATTCCCAGAATATATTGTTGCACTTGCTACAATTGTTGGATCTGTGCTTTTCACCGTATGTCACACCTTGCAAATATCCCACAACTCAATTCTTCATGATAATGATAGGGGTGTCGTGATTTCCTCTTGCAATATATTTCTGATCAGTGACATGAGATTTTTCCTGTTACTCATAAATGCATGATAGATGTCTTAGGGGTATGCTAGTCAACATCAATTTAGCATTTCAGCTGTACCAAATGCATGTGGCGGCATACTTGGTTGATACTAGTATCTAAAAGTTTCCTAAGTCTTGTTGATTGAGTAGTCATTAAATTAAAGTGATTATAGTAGATGAGGACATGCAACATTTTTTGCTATATCTGGTTGGACCCTTCTTTCCTCGACATATATTTTTGTGTCACTTACATACTTTGTGCTCAAGATTTATGCTTGCTACTCTCTCTCCAGATTTTTGGTGGTGTTGGCATTGCTTGCCTGCCATTGGGACTCATATTTTCATTTATTCGGCGCCCTAAGGCCGTTATTACACGCTCTCAGTATATCAAGGTACTTCAGTTTTAACATGGTTTATATTTTCCTTGTGAAATTATGGAATTGGGGTCTATAAGTACAATTTACAAATGAGGCTTTATTTTCGTCTCTGGCAGGAAGCAACTGAACTGGGGAAAAAAGCAAGAGAACTTAAAAAAACTGCTGATGCACTTCACCAGGAAGAAAGGAGTGGCAGTAAGGGAAGAAAATGGCGCAAAAATGTGAAAACCGTAGAAAAGGTTTGTTGTCTTATGTTTGCTTCTTTATACATGAAGTCCATGATCTATTAGTTCTTATTTATGTGCTCTCTGCAATAGCTTAGTTGGTTTGATTGGTGCCATCTGGTTCAACTACTTCACTTGTCACGCATTTTGCTTTATTTAATCAATTCAGAATGGTGCATCATTTGTTGAACTTTTTTTTGAGCCAATAAGGCAATATTTATTTATACAAGTGTTTCTTGACTCGCAGGAGGTACTTCTCTTGGAAGAAGATGTGAAGGCCTTGGAAGAGATGTATCCTCAAGGCGAACAGGTGATTTATGAGTATAGAAATTATTACATATTTCAGTTTCTCTTTACTATGGTAACTATGTCAATGATAGATTTTAATTCCCTCGGCTTCACTCAGCTCTACGAGGAAAAAAAAAAGGAGAGAAAAGAAAGAAAGAATAAAAATAAACTGATCTCTGATGATGATGTTGCCAAAATTTTGCAGGCTGAAACAGCTTGGGCTATGACTGTTCTCAGCTACCTTGGTAAATTGGTATTTGGAGTTCTAGGGTATGTTCTTGTTACTCATGCATTGGACTTTGCCAGTGTGATTCCTATCATTGCTTCCATTGGTAGTCCTAGAACGTCGATAGTTCATGCTTATTTATTCCCTTGGCTGATTGGGATAATGCAACTAAACAATTTTCATTCCTTGAACAGGTTGATCGTTTCAGTCGCTTGGATTGCACATATTGTGATATACTTGCTGATTGACCCTCCTCTTTCTCCATTTCTTAACGAGATTTTCATCAAATTGGATGACGTTTGGGGTAACCTGGAATTTCTATTTGTTGTTGTCTTTGCTTCTTTTAACGAGTCGTCCATTTGATGGATACGCTTCTTTGTCTTCAAGGTCTTCTGGGCACTGCAGCATTTGCATTCTTCTGTTTCTATCTTTTGCTTGCTGTGATAGCTGGGGCAATGATGGTTGGCCTGAAATTAGTTTTTATAACGATCCATCCTATGAAGTATGTGTACAAAATTTTGTTTTTTCCCACTGTTCAAGATTTTGCTTTGATTATCTTCTCTTTTAGTGATCTCTGGCATTTGATGTTATTGCATGATATTTGATTGTGTACAGATGGGGAGCTACTCTGATGAACTCATTTCTTTTCAATGTGGGTCTGATTCTTCTTTGCTCAATCAGGTGAATTTCCAAAGTTTGTCAAATTAGTAAATGCTATTTGTTGAACTCGTTTAATATGCACCCAGTGTGTGTTTTAGCATTCACTTCTGCTTGTAAAGAAGTTATGCTCCTGGTGAATTTCCGAAGTGATAATGTTCATTGATGTTATGCAGTGTGATTCAGTTCTGTGCCACTGCATTTGGATATTACGCCCAAGCTACTGCTGCTCAAGAAATATTTGGTCACACCCTGCAATCTCTTCGCGGAATCAAATATTTGTACAAGTCAGTTACCATCTCATTTTTTCTTACTCAAAAGTTGTTGGGAATGAAAATTTATGGCGCTAAAAATATTTTTGCTGTTCCAGATACAATGTGTTTCAAATTGGCTTCATTATTTTAGCGGGGCTCACATTTGTGTATTATGCAGCTTTTGTAAGTTTCTCAACTTTGAACTTTTTGATATTTATTTATTTATACTTTTGAGTTCTTGTGAGCTCAAAGCTGTTATGCACTTTGCGTTTCAGGGATGGAGAAGAAAAAAGACTAGAGGCAGATTTCAACTTTCCACATAAAAACATGCTCTGCTCTGCTCTGAACCGATCTGAAATTGAAACTGCTGGATTTCTTGATTTATCTTTAACATAAGTGATGTTCATTCTGGGATGCATATCACTCGGCTTTATTGATTTAGTTTCCGGGAGTAGAAGACGTAACATTATTCGAGAACCAATTACACTGCAAAGGTGGAATTTGCATGACCCTTGGGTTAGTATCATTCCTCCTGGTTTTGTTGATTTGGCTTGTATATCTGCCCAGCGTATTATTTATTTTTCTTAATTTTTTTTTGTAACTGTCTTTGCTGGTATTATTAACATGTAAGAATTTGAGGATGTATCCATAATGTATGTATAGTGTCAATTATTAGTGAGCTGTAAAAGTTTGTCATGTTAGCTTCTTTGCCATGTAATTTCACCCCATTCATTTGTATTCGTTTATTCACCCTATAAATAACTTCAATTATTGTCAGGGGATTGTTTTGGTCATTGCAAGTTCGTTCACTGCTTCAGTGGATGCACTAATTGAAAAAACAAGGGAACAGTGTATACAATAAATAAATTCGTTACTGGATAAGTCTTTCAAAGATGATCCGAACACGAACATGTATAAGTCTTCCAAAGATAGATATAAATACTTAGAATCTTAAACAAACTCAATTAAACACAAATCTAGTTAACATCTTGTTTTTCCCAAGAAACCCCAAAGCAAGTGGAATTAAATCAAGCATTGCGTCTCCAAACCTTCCCACAGTCGTTTTCTTGAGGTCAATATCTTTTTCGAGGTTGTTTACGTGTTCGTGCGGTGAAGGAAAATAATTATCGTTAATGTCAATTACTGAAACATTCTGCGGACTTGCATTAAAAAAAACGAAAAAGAAAAAAGAAGTAGTTATCATCTGTGCATGCTTTCCCTCAATGCCTTTTGCTTCCAAACGCCTAAGGGCATCTCCAACGTTTGCTCTTTTGGACTGCTAAAAGTTAAATTACATGATATATAGCTGATGGGAACAAAAAATCCAGCTCCAACGGGCCAGCTAAAATTTCGCATGCAATGTATAATTGGAAGTCCAACTGCTATCAATAGCAGATACTGTACATGGGCTGGTAAATATAAATATAATAAAATAATGAAACAGTATCACAATTTTGTAGAGAGATAAAGTGGGTCACACCACTTTACTTTAAATAAATAATATAATATAATAAACATGTATAATATAGATGTTATGATTGGAGTGGAAATGATAAAAGTAAGAAGGCAAAACACTATTCACAAGCTAATATAAATATACCATTTAGATTTATAGCATTCTCCATTGGAGATGCTCTAACCATAGCAGTTCTGTCAATAGTAAATCCAATGTGAATTATTTTAATTGGGCTTTCCTATAAACGTTAAAGGTATTTGGGCTTTCCTCACCCAACCAAAAAGCCCATATAGGTTTTGAGCATTCAAAAAACCCAATTGTTGGCTGAATCCAAAACAGCTTCCGCGCAGCAGAATGGACATTGCTCTTTTTTCCCCTTCTTCGCTTTTCGCCGACCCCGATGGTAGCTCCTCCGGTAATCCATCTTCATTTTTCCGTTGAGTAGAGAGAGAGCAAAACTCATAATTTTATATATTTATACTTTTATATCCCTAATTATCAATGATTTTGTTTCTTTTTCTATCTCCAGAAGAGGAAACGATTGAAACCCATGACAACTTCGTCGAGAGAAAGCACCAATTTCCTGGAACGGTATGTTTTTTTTTTTTTATTCTTATTTTTTCTTCCGATACAATTTGGATATGAAGGTGTTAGATTCGGTATTAGTTTATGTTTTCACTTATTTTTATGTTAGTAGCTGGGTGAGTGCTTATCTGTAGGTTTGATAAAATGTGGTAAACTTGATAGAGAAATCAGTAGTTGACAAAGATGAGAGTTGACCTAACACTGCATTGGTGATTGTACATTTACTGCATTTGAGATAGGCTTGAAAATACTGGATCAAGTGTTGCGTATAAATCTCTTAGAGTTTTGTTTCGATGATGTTGTTATTGTTGAATTTAAAGGTATGCTACTATGCGTATTATTATTGGTATGTAAACACGAACCATTATGTTTTTTACCTATTTGGTAGAATCATTTTCTTGAAGCTTATTTGTTTATTTCGACTTGTGTGCAGGAATTGCTCATTAGAGAATTTTCTTTTCACCAATTAAACGCTAATCTACTGTGGCCCGGTACATTTGCATTTGCAGAATGGTTGGTTCAGCATAGATCACAGATAGAGGGAAGGAGAGTATTAGAATTGGGCAGGTATAATTTATTGTACCTTTTTCATAATAATAATACTTCTACTTGCAAAGTTCAGAATTGCTTCATCTCCTTTGTGTTGTTTCAAATCTTATATATGTACATAATTCTTAGTTTTCATGAGCTCTAACACAATATCTTGTAACACCCAAGTTTGGAGCATATCTCGTTAGAGATTAAAGGAAGATATATTTCGAAATCAATTCGTATATATTAAAGGAAAATGTCTTGCATATTTTCGGTGTTGGAAAGCTACTAGTTGTATCTACAGATTAAACTTTGTGTTTCTGATGTTCGTTTCTAAGACTATTATTGCAGTGGAACTGGAGCTTTGGCCATCTTTTTGGCAAAATCTTTTCAACTTGACATCACTACATCTGATTATGATGATGTTGAAATCGAAGAGAATATAGCTCATAATTGCCGGATAAATGGAGTTACTTCCTTGCTTCCTCACATAAGACGTAAATTCTCTTGCATAATGTTTAATGCTTATAGCTCATTTGATTTAAATGGATAATAAAATCTAGAGAAAGTTTTCCTTTCCCAGATTCATGGGGAGATGTCTTTCCTATTTCTGATCCAGATTGGGACCTTATTATTGCAAGTGATATTTTACTTTGTAAGTCATGCAATTCCTTCTGGCCTTTATCGCATTAAATGGATATAGATCATATAATGAATGAATAACGACTACTTGTTCATTTGCAGATGTTAAGCAGTATGGCAACCTTATAAAGTCCTTATCATTTCTCCTCAAATCTTACAAACCAAAAGCTAGCAAGGAGGTTGCTTGTACGACTGGGCACCACGGTATATATTTCTTGGTCTTTTAATATACGTTTCTGAGATTGTAGTTAATGAATTTAGTGAAATAGATATTCTTGCCGACACGTAATTATGGAAGAAATGAGCTCTTGGGTTATAATTGTGGGCTAATCTTATCTTGGTATAATATGCCATCTGACACAGATCAATTTCCGTTGATTCGACCAACATTCTTGATGAGTTGGAGGCGAAGGATAGGGAAAGAGGATGAATCGATATTCTTTAGTGGATGCAAAGAAGCTGGTCTTGAAGTCGTTCATATTGGTTCTCGTGTCTACTCTATCAGCTTAAGAGGGGACACATGTGAATTTAGCTAAAATAACATTTGGTGAAGTCAATTGAAAATTTTGCTCCGGAAAATATCTTCAAGAATGTATGTTTGTTATGGACTTATGACCACAAGAACATTTGACAAGCTGCCCGTTTTTGGCCTATCTCCTTTCCGATTTTTGTAGTTAAAGCCATATTATGAAGTGTATGTTACTGAATGATTTAGATATTGGAAAATTAACTGAGTGATATTTTAGTTGATATTAGAATGCTGATTGTTGAGGTATATGAATTAAGAGTAAACGTCATCGCCATGGAACTGTTCAAGAATCATTTATTGACCTTGTACTTATTTTGTACTTTACAGAACTTGAATTGACCACTCTCAACAAAGAATATATTTGCGTCACTGAATTCTTCACCAGTTTGAAGGTGTAAAATATATGGAAAATCTGCCGACTGCCAACTTATTTGAAATTGAAGAAAATGGGACAAAACATAACAAAAAAAATAATAATAAAAAAAATGTATGGTGCAAAATGTAGAGATATGGTATTATTATTATACTGAAATAATAATAAAAATTGGTCCAGACGAAAGTTCGAGGAAATCACCTGTTGGTGTTTGCGGCCATCTCAGCCAACTGATATTCACATGGCCTGCTCGCATTACAATCCAAACAATTCCTTATATATATATTCAAATCGTGTGACACTGAAACTCAATTTTTTTCTATTATATGACATGTTTAATTTAAATCATTCCTTATATTTGTTATGTTTTCCATCTTTAAGTTCTACAAACAACAATCTATAAGTTAATTTAATTGTTCGTCAATTCGATTTTCCTAATCTACAACATGACTAGGCTTTCAAGATTTATACAAAATTGAATAGAAACACAGATTTGCAAATCGTAGAGGAAGTTGTCTTGTTAGCAAAAAACGATGAAACAGAAGACAGCTTGTTTTTCAGTTGAGGTAGAAATAGGAAACTTCGCAGAAGCAGCACAAGTTTGTCACTCAATTCTTCAATTATATGAAGCATTTATTGTTGTTCTGTCCATATATGGTTATAGTTGATATCGACTTTGATTATATATTTCATTATTTGTCATCATCATATATATATGTATATATTTGCATGAAATTATTTCGAAAATATTATTTAAATAACTAATCAAAATCTAACTGAAATACGTAACTAAACAAAAAAAAAAAAAACAACGAAATCCAGCGTATAAAAATTAATAGTGAAGGAGCTAGCTGCAATAATTAGGATATACATATATACACATATAATAGGAAAGTGTTTGTCTTGTTGTAGAAGCAAATTGGTAAGCAGGCCACGACACCTTTCGAGCAGTTTTATGCAGGAAATTTCGAGGAAGTTTCAATGTACAGGTACACCACAGCCGTACATGCTACAAGTGTGTATGGTATGGGTTCACTAAAACAGAAATTAGTTTCATCGAATGGTTATCATTTTATGTTCCTCGTCTACGCTCATCCTTCGATCCTTTAATTTATCGTTTAAAATTTGGATAAATTAAATTACCAACACTTGCCAAAGTTAAACTATGAATAACACATCTTTCGTGTACTTTGCAAACTATTATACGGAAGTGTAAATTTACCCAATACACCAATATGGTTGGTTGCGGATTCTATTTATATATCTCCTTAAGCTAGCCTTTGGATATCCAAATCCATTTAAACATATATAACTCGGAAGGAATTGTGATTTATATTTTCAGATTTTCTAGTTTTTTTCTTGACTAACCATTAGTTTGAGGGGTGAAAATAATTCAACAAACAATTGGGTGCTATTTTGTAATTTCACTTATCTCATGGAGTGTCTATAATTTATTCAAATTTAGACACACAAATTAAGGAATTCATTAAATTGATTTTGTTTTGACAACTGACAAGAAAACCTAAAATTACACTTGTAATTAAAAAGATTATCTTACCATTAATTATCATATTTATTTTTATCTCTATAATTTATTAATCAAGGCTAAAATTAGTAGAAACATAATTATTCTGCAATAAAATCCTAAAATAATATGTTTTTTTTTACTATTTATTTTAATATCATTTTTGAAATAATCACCCACAATTAATTAGTTTGTTGGCATCCCTAACAGTGACAGTACATTAGGTCATTAGGTGTATGTATATATATGCTCACGCTGATGCAGTACTCGCTCACCACCTAAAATCAAACCGCCAATTGTTCATCAAATCCCTGGTACGTGTGCCTTCTTCGGAAATGCCAGAAAGACGAGATTCGGGAAAAATGGCAACAACTACAACTCAACAAGAGGCATTTTTGGAAAATGGAAATATAAAGTTGTTGAGCAGAGAGATGAGACATGGCAGCCGCACTGCACACAACATGTCTTCATCTTCTCTGCGCAAAAAATCCGACAGGGCCCTTGTTTCCAAAATCCGGGTCGGGTTTCTAAGGATGTTTTTTACCAATCTTCAAGAAGTCTTGCTCGGCACAAAGCTTGCTGTTTTGTTTCTCGCTATCCCAATCGCCATTGTTGCTCAATTCTGCAATTTTGGAAGTGTAAGTGCTTCTTCTTCTTTTTTTTTTTTTTTTTTTGAAGTTAGGGTTTCATTTTTTCACTAGCCAACTTTTACATTTGCCTAATTGAATTAATAAATGCATGGAGAGTTAGTTGCATGCATGCAATTAATCCATTGTTTTTATCATTGACTTTGTTGTATAATAATTATTTAATGCTGTATTCTCTTGCATAAACAGCCATGGGTATTTGGTTTGAGTTTAATTGGACTAACTCCGCTTGCAGAGCGCGTCAGCTTCTTGACCGAGTAAGAATATAAACGGATAATGTTTTTTTTTTTCTTCCTTTAATTTATTTCCTTCTTTTTTATTATTTTATTATTATGATGTATTATATTATAAGATATATATTTTTCTCGAACAAATTCCTTATCAGCTGTTAACAGATTATCTTGTAAATAAATGCAGGCAAATTGCTTTCTTCACAGGTCCAACAGGTGATTATTATATTCAATCATTTCAATTTTTAAATAACAAATTATTATCCTAAAAGTTGCATAGTTAATTGATGAATAAATTGGTGGGATATAATTTAATTTGCAGTTGGAGGACTCCTAAATGCAACATGTGGAAATGCAACAGAGCTAATAATAGCTATATTTGCACTCACTCAGCACAAAATAGCCGTCGTGAAATACTCCCTACTGGGCTCTGTTCTCTCGAACCTTCTTTTAGTTCTCGGAACCTCTCTTTTCTGCGGTGGCATCGCAAACATGTCCAAAGAACAAAACTTTGACAGAGTATGAAATATTAAATTCTAATTTAATGAATTTCAAAAAAATTCTCGAAATATACGTCGTTGTAATTATTTCTTGCAATAAATTGACAGAAACAAGCGGACGTAAATTCAATACTTTTGTTGCTGGGATTATTGTGCCATGTGCTACCATTGATGTTTAAATATGCTGGAAAATCGCCTGAGTTGACAGCAGTTGCGACGCTTCAATTATCGAGGGCCAGTTGCATTGTGATGCTTATTGGCTACATCGCTTACTTAGTTTTCCAATTATGGACCCATCGCCAATTTTTTGAAGCACAAGAGGTTATTGACTAGCATCACTATAATATCCAATTATGCTTGAATACATTTTTAGTTAGAAATATTAAACATATTATAAATATTATTTGATTAGGATGAAGAAGATGATGATGTGGTGGCAGATGATGATTCGCCGGTGATTGGATTCTGGAGTGCATTTGTTTGGTTAGTTCTGATGACCGCCGTTGTAGCTTTACTTTCGGAGTATGTTGTCGGCACAATTGAAGTAAGCTCATATAAATATGTATATATATAATTAAGTTTTTTTTTTTAAATAAATGCTAATTAAAAATATTGAATTATATAGGCTGCATCAGATACTTGGGGATTGTCAGTCAGCTTCATCAGTGGGATTCTACTACCAATTGTTGGAAATGCAGCTGAACATGCTGGGGCAGTCATCTTTGCATTCAAGAATAAATTGGTTGGTTACTCATTTTATTTTTTTCCGTATTTATAACGATTAATTTAACAAATAATTCATATTCGTTTAATGTTATTGATACGTATCTTGTGCAATACAGGATATAACTCTGGGTGTTGCTCTAGGCTCAGCAACTCAAATTGAAATATTTGTGGTAAGAAATATTGATCGAGATCACCATAGTATATATAAATTCGAAATCATTTAATTTGGAGATACTAATTAATGTTGAAATATTCAGATCCCGTTATGTGTTATAGTGTCATGGATCATTGGTATAGACATGGATCTCGATTTTAATCTTCTTGAGACAAGTGCACTCGCGATGTCAATCCTTATAACAGCTTTTACATTACAGGTAAAACAATTGTTGAACTTTTAATCTTCTCTAAAATACTGGATTTTACATATTGGATTTTGAAGGTTAATTAATTTGTTGACAAATAATAAATCATCATCACTAACAAAATGAAGTTCGTGTACAGGACGGAACATCTCATTACATAAAGGGACTGGTTCTTCTGCTATGCTACGCCATTATCGCTGCATGCTTTTTCGTGTATAAGGATTCACCTGGTACTGAGAAATCTGTAACATTATTCGAATTTTGAGATTTTCGACAGATCATAACTTACTCGATCGTATATATTATTATTCAATTTGTTTGCAGATAGTGCAGACCCTACCAGCTTATTAGGATTGGTACCCTCTGCAGGCACAATGAGAGTTTAAATGGTAATTTATATTTAATTTCTAAGTTAGCATAATGTAATGATATTTTCACATATCTTTATTAGCACTAACAACCAATAGTATATGTTTGCAGTACTTTGAGCAGATTGGATACACATATGTTATTCATTTATTGAAATGGAGATGAAATCTGCAATATCGATCAAGCATCAATCAAACTCTAAAATGGGTAGAATGGGATTGCATTATGGTTTCAAGATTTTTCAAGTTTGTGATGGAACAGTAAAATTGGCTGGAGCATGATGCACTATGTTTGTTATTTCTGCTTCTTGTATTGTTATATATTTATTATCTTGTTGAGTTTATTATTTTAATTATTATTAATTTTTTTGTGTGGCTAATACCAATGTTTGTGTGGAGCTTGTAATATGTATCAACATGTTGAGAATTGGAAATGAATTATTATGTTGATCAACATTACATGCAAGCAGGGCTGATCCTTACACGTGGCAACCTAAGGGTATAATAGAAATTTATAGGATAAATTACAACCGCCCCTGATGTATGGTCAAATTATGAAAACCCCCTCTCTGTTTGAGTAATTACAACCACCACTCAACAATAAATCTTCTTACACGTCCACCCTTGCGGTTCCAAATTTAGTGGAATCTTCGAGATTATATTGAATAATATCACTTTTGTACCCTTTTTATCACATTCGAACTCCAAATTTTGGAGCAAGATGATCATACTATGTGTTTTTTGACTTGTATATATCAGATTGTGGTGTATCATAAACCGTACTTTTACACAAAACGAGTACAAACTAGAGTACATCCACGAAATTTAGATGATTAGTTTGAATTTGACACCATAAGAGTAGAAGTGTAAGAAAAAATCATAGTTGATGGGGGTAAATGTACAAATTTATATAATATGAGGGCCTCAAATCAAATCATCGATCCCGGCCCAAATGCACAATATTTGTGGACCTCTTACATTATTAAATAATAAATTCGAGGCCTTTTATATGCAGCAAATCAAAATTTAATGTTGTATTCATTATTTGAAAATTAGGAGACGAGCCCAAAGGCGTTCCCCGCCATTGGTTTTCGATGAAAAATATCCCTCCAATTTTGGAAACCCCCAAACCCTTGCACTTTCCAGATCTGGCAGCAATGGCAGCTTTCTCTCTCCCGCTCCACTCCTCATTCACTCCCTCACCTTTCAAACCACAACTCTTCCGCCACTTACAGCGCCTCAAACTCGCTCCACATGCTCGTCCTCCCGTGCTTTCCTGCGGCAGCAACGCCGCCGCCGTCACCGGGCCAACAGGAAACGAAGTCGTGGTCAACGGGATACCGCCTGATTATTACGCCGACGGTGGTTCAGTTCAGCTTCCCCCAAGTCTCCAGAGAGAGTTGATGCCGAACCACGTCGCGGTAATTATGGACGGTAACAGGAGGTGGGCCGGCTCGAGGAATTTCCCAATCGTCTTCGGTTACGAAGCTGGCTTTAGGGCCTTCAAGCGGCTGATCGAATTGGCTTGCAATTGGGGGATCGGGACTCTTACGGTGTTCGCTTTCTCATCTGAAAATTGGTGCAGACCTAAGGTAAAAAAATATGCAGCATTCATTTTCTACGCCTGAATTTACTTGGCCTTGTTTTCTAATGTGTCGTTTTCTGTCTCAGGCGGAGACTGATTTGTTGATGGGATTGTTCGAGCGAATATTGAGATTTGAGCTGGAGCACTTCATGAGGTATTTAATTAACCTGCTTCCACCTAATTCATTACTCACAGAATATTATTGCTTAATGCTTATTGATTTGTATCAATTGTGGGGAAGTAGGATAATTAAAATTTGGTGTTATATCAGCTTCATTAATTGTCAATAGTAACTTTAGTTGAGAGACTATGTAACACAACCTATCTCCTGATATTGGTGTATTCATGGTATTGTGTGTAGTTATTTCTCCATTTTGGTCTTGTACCAATTGAACCGAGCTTGAAGTCTCCCTTCTGGAAAGTCTTGCTCTAACGAGTCCACTATCCGGTTTATCTGTTAATTGATTAATTTCCCGCAGCAAATAATTATTTAGAACATATATGCATCCTTCCAAGAATGTTGAGTTTTCAATTGTGGGTTTTACCAATAAATTGTGTTATTAGAACATATATGGTTGTCAATAAGCTTCGGTTGACAAATCACAGTCTCCTTTCTTGTTCTTATTCCACCCTTTTCTTTTCTCCCCTTATTCACTCAACAGTTTTTGGAATTCATTTCTAACTTCGTGGCTCTAGTTTTTGATCATCATTTTCAGGTTATCTTCTTGCCAGCATTCTTTGTAATCAAATGTTTATGTTGTTTCCATTGCTATTCTTCATGTTAATACATGCAGGACTGACTTGTATTATAATCAATATGGTTGTGTCTCTTATTTGTTTAACGGATTTTTGGACAGAGAGAACATAAGGATATCTCTTATTGGGGATGCTACAAAACTGCCCAAGCAATTACAGTCACTGCTAGTTGATGCAGTGGAAGCCACACAAAACAACTCGCGCCTTCACCTGATCGTGGCAGCTAATTATAGTGGTCGAAGTGATGTTGTGCAAGCTTGCCGAAAAATTGCATTCAAAGTCAAAGATGGTCTCATTGACCCGAATGATATCAACGAGTATTTAGTTGAAAGGGAGCTCGAAACAAGCTGTACTGATTTTCCACACCCTGATCTGCTAATACGGACTAGTGGCGAGCTTAGAATGAGTAATTTTCTTTTATGGCAGCTGGCCTACACTGAACTGTATTTTACGAATGCGCTTTGGCCTGATTTTGGAGAATCCGAGTTTTTAGAGGCCTTGTGTTCCTTTCAGCAAAGGCAGAGACGCTATGGGGGAAATCTTTGAATTCAGAGGTGCAAATAGCTTTGAGGTGGAATATGCCTATAGTATATGTATATATAAAAATGTAGGTGTATATTTATAACTTATAACACACACAGTATATATGTATATACGATTCTAATTATATATATAATACATGAAGACATGTTACTAAAACGTGTTTCTATTTTTTCGGAAATTACAAAAATTGTCCAACACGTGTTGGACAGGCGTAGAGAGGCTAGACTTGATGAGTGATATCCTGATCAAGTCTTCATGAGAAATATCTACGTCTACCTTCCAATGGAACACAATTCGATACATCAGGTATATAGCTCCATTAAGATGACAGTTGATGATGTAAGTTTCTTTTACAACATAGAATTTCTTGCATCATCTGAGCTCTTATTGATTAGCATAGCATAAAACTCATAATGAAACCCTTCTTCAGATTCAAGTTTCTGCAATTTAATCTTATTGTTACTTTAAGGTTTACTTTTAACATGCTATGATATTAAAACAGGTTTCTTAGGGCAAAAGAACCTGTCAGGCTTAATGGGCACTTCTCGTGGGGGCTATTGGTTGCTGCAAGCAAATGGTTTTCCGACACATCACACAATAAAGCCGAATGTCCATATCATCTCTTTCGTCAATTAGAGGTTAGTCCGTCTTTTTCATGGCCACTTAACATATCGTATTCGTTATTTTACACAATAGATGGACCCGTTAACCTTAATTAATTAATCAATTAATGAATGAATGGACTAAGGTTACTGTAAAAAAAAAAATCTTTTTCGCCTCACGGATCCATCATTTTAGATATTGAGCTGTATTGTTACGGCGCACCTGGTGCATCATTCGTCCTCTATCCATAAAAATCAAATAGATAATAATTTCGAGTTTTGGTTATGAACAAATCTATGTACACTATGAATGAAAATTGTTGAACACATTCATACAGATCATTGTATTACATCGTCACTCAATTGTTAATTCCTTTCTTGGCTCTCTTGCAACTTGGATAATAAACAGGGAGCTGATAATTTTATTATTTTTAGATGTGGTATAAGTTGTAAAACAACTTACGCACATTGGATGAATTAACAAATTATTATTGATATGACACAAGCTTATGCTTATCCGTGTGGGGAATTAGTCCTTGTATCATCAATCATTATCATTTTACTCTAAAGCTTTTTTAGAAGTAATATATTTGACAAAATCAGCCTTCTAAGTTTGATTTGTTTTTTCTTCGGGTCCCACGTTAACAAGTTCGTATCAAATTTAATAATTCTAAGTTAAAAATCATTGCATTTACAGACGAAGATATAGCACTTAGCCTCTAGCCAGATTAAATGTAGAAGCAACTAGATCAATTTACCCAAAAACCAAAACAATTTTCTAATCAATTAATTTTAATTTCCCAAAAAATAAAATTGTTAGTAAGCCACTTTTAATTATATATCTTGCATGGATGACACCCGTCAATGAAACACAAACATGTTCTCATCGTGGTCGTGGTCGTGGTCCTCTGTTTTTATCTCCCATTCATTAAATGCCATTTTTTTTGTACCAATACAATTTACTACCATAAAAAACAATTGTTGGTATATTTATTTGCTTATAAATCATCAAATAAAAAACACACCAGCAACACCAAAATAATCTATAATCATAAGGACTGATTTTTAATGCGATAAATCTTTTCAAATAATGAAAAAGTACAATATTATATTGAGGAAGTCAAACTCATTCTTTTGGCGTCTTTAAGAGTGTGTCGTCTTATTAATTGGAAAATAGCATTAAAATTTGAAGAGGTCTAGAAACTGTAAAATAGGATGAGTACCGAGTAAAGTCAGGTTTGGGATATATTTGTCAATAAATGAAAAATAATTAGGCAAACAAAAGCAAACACAGCGCTAACAGAATTTCAGCAACCTTTGCGTCAGCTAAAATAAAAAACAAACCCAATTAATTAAACAAATGATTAAACGACAGTACAGTAACTGAAGCGTGCGGTCCAAGCGAGAAGGCTTAGTGTTTTATGCACTGGTGACTTTAAGAACCCCCACCTCACCCCCTTCCGGCCTCTCCAGAAGCAAACTCCTTCACGATACTTCTGGATATTTCCCAATTTTTGCCCTTTTTGGGGACGAACAGAAGTTCAAGATTTTTATTTTTTTTTTGAAATTTTTTAATTGAAAAAGGTGGGTTTTTTGAGATAGTGGATTTTTATCAGGGAGTTGGTGAGAAAGAGAAGTGAGGAGAAGGTGGAAAAAATAATTAGAGGTGAAAAATTGAATGGGAGTAAGAGAAGAAAGAAGAGGGGAGGTTGATGACGAAGTCTTTTAAAGATTCTCTGAAAGCGCTTGAAGCTGATATTCAACATGCCAACACCCTGTAAGTTTTTATTTTTTGTTCTTCGTGTAATTCTTTGTGGGGACCCTTTTGATTTTTGTCCTTCTTCTGTGAACTTTTGGGTTTATCTCTTTCCCCAATAAATAATTCTAACCTGATTCATTGTATGTTGGTGGATTAACCAAAACCAAAAAAAACATTTTAGCTTGTTTGATTGTGCGTTGGTGGATTTATATGTGAATTGTTGTATGAGAAAGCATCCACAGTTTAACATCTAACTTATTTCTGCCTTGATTAAAATATTCTCTCAGTCATCACAACTTTTTTTATGAATTACGCAACCTCTTTCAAGTTGTCTTAACCAATTTTTTTAACCTTAAAGTGACTGGAACTTGTCACATAGTTACTCATGGCCTCAACACTTCAATTTTCCTTAAAAGGTGGGAAATATGATTTAGATTTAGATTTTAATGTTTTTTTGGTTCTTTCTGTTGTGTGTTCTGTGTTTTCTTGAACAGGGCTTCGGATTATTCAAGGGAATATGATGGGGCCTGCCTTCAGATGAGGCTATCATACAGCCCATGTGCCCACATTTTTCTATTCCTGGTTCAGTGGGCTGATTGTCACCTTGCTGGTGCACTTGGGCTGATTAGGATCCTTATTTACAAGGTAGTCTTGTGTTTTACGAATATTGTGCATTGTATATTCCTTGATATATATCGGGTTCTCTGATGATCATGAAAATTGATGGTTTAGTAGTAATTGTAGGTATATGAGGATGGCAAAACAACCATGTCCGTTTGTGAAAGAAAAGCCAGTTTAAGGGAGTTTTATGGTGAGTATGCTTAAAACTTCGAATTACGCAATTTTCCATGCTCTCGGATTGGCTGTTTAGTTATATATTGTTATAAAATTATTATTCACTGGAAGACATTTGGTCAGGTGTAATATTCCCCTCTTTGCTGCAACTCCATAGAGGAATCACGGACGTTGAAGAGAGAAAACAAATAAAGATTTGTGCAACTAAATACAGGAGAAGAGATGAGATGGACAAGGGTAAGCTCTCTGAAATTGAAATAGAGAGAGAGGAAGAATGTGGAATTTGCATGGAAATGAATACCAAAGTTGTCTTGCCTAGTTGCAGCCATTCCTTGTGTATGAACTGCTACAAGAACTGGTAAGTAAAACCCATTCTGTTTACAAAATTGATGTGTTACACGATGAAACGGCCGTAGAAGTTGTAGTGTTTAACAATTACATGAACCTTACCCTATGTTGAGTTTCTATTCCGTACATGGTTGTGATTGTATCTTTTCTGCCTGTCTATTATCTTAAAAGTAACATGAAATGTTTTAGTTTTACGCAGCCATAATATAGGTTTTGACCCCTGAACTTAGGATATAAAATTGGGGGATATCGAAATATATTGTCTGAAAAGCAAGGAGGATATATAAGTAACCATCTATCTCGTATAAAGCTCATTGTTTTCGCATGCTTCAAGATTCCTAACTTTTTCTTTAAGGAAAACAAAATAGTTGAATTGATCATGTTGTTACAATTGCTGTTCATACAGGCGTGCTCGATCGCAGTCGTGTCCATTCTGTAGAGATAGTCTCAAAAGGGTGAATTCTGGGGAACTTTGGATCTACACTAGCAATTGTGACATTACAGATTTATCTACCATTGCAAGGGAGAATCTGAAAAGACTGTTTATCTATATAGACAAGCTGCCTCTCGTTGTTCCAGATCAAATGGTAGTTACTTACGATACTCATTTTCGGTGAATCATTAGGGTTGTGGTGTTAATTCTTTGTATATAGATTGTAATTATCGTATAGTTATAAGATTCCATTCTGTACATCTGATTCTATATTTCAAGTTTACAAATTGTGAATACATCATTGTCCCCCCAGGTAGTAGAATCTTCTCCAGATTCTTTTATTTATTGCATTATTGAAATTTTCAGAATATTACAGTGTTATAAAGAATTAATTACATTTGTGGAATTTAATTGGTTTTATTCCAATTAAATTGAACTTACTTCAACGATCTAGATCCTTACATATTTACATATATCTGTATGTGTGATTGTATATAAACTAAATGTGGAAGATTATACGATCAAGTGTAGTACGTATGAAAATATGTGTGTGGAATTAACAATCAAATATATTCTTAAAACCTGTGTACAATGTACAGGTTGGAAAATGGAGATATTCTGATTTATGATATGGTCCAATCTTAAGGAATCCTGAGAACCACATAAAACAATCCTAGGTGGCAAGTAGCTTCCCTTCCAACACACATTTGTAATCACTCACTGATAAGAAACAGATAAGGCAGAGACTCCCACCACCCTTGGATCGATTCGTTTCTTCCATCCAACGGCCACCATCTCTCCACCTTTAAAAAATAAAAAATCTCCATCTCCATCACGATAATCCCAGCTTTTATTACAGGCTCTATAACCCAACCAAGCTTACGATTCTCCCTCTACACACTCCACCACACTCCACCCCTCCTCCCTCAAGATCACATTTCGCCATGTCCGCCACCACCGTCGCCGCCGCCGCCACGGCCTCCTCATTCATGGGCACCCGCCTCCCGGAGGTGAACGGATCGAGTCGGGTCCAGGCCAGGTTCGGATTCGGAACCAAGAAAGCTGCACCAAAGAAAGCAAAGAAAGTCATCCCAGACCGCCCATTGTGGTTCCCAGGAGCAAAGTCGCCTGAATATCTCGACGGAACCCTCGTCGGCGATTACGGGTTCGACCCATTCGGTTTGGGCAAACCCGCCGAGTACTTGCAGTTCGATTTGGACTCCCTTGACCAGAACCTAGCCAAGAACTTGGCCGGTGACATCATCGGAACCAGAACCGAGCTCAGCGACGTGAAATCAACGCCGTTCCAGCCGTACAGCGAAGTTTTCGGCCTTCAGAGGTTCAGAGAATGCGAGCTCATCCATGGTAGGTGGGCCATGCTCGCTGTTCTCGGCTCCTTGACCGTCGAGTGGCTCACCGGCGTCACCTGGCAAGACGCCGGAAAGGTAATTAATTAAATTTAACATAATTAATTATGAATTAAAGAAGAGAGAATCTTAGATCAATTTGTACGCATAGGTTGAGCTGATCGATGGATCATCGTACCTTGGGCAACCACTTCCATTCTCCATATCCACATTGATCATTATCGAGGTGCTCGTGATCGGGTTCATCGAGTTCCAGAGGAACGCAGAACTTGACCCGGAACAGAGGCTATACCCGGGTGGGTCCTACTTCGACCCATTGGGCCTTGCAGCTGACCCGGAAAAGAAGGCAACCCTTCAGCTGGCTGAGATCAAGCACGCCCGCCTTGCAATGGTGGCGTTTTTGGGCTTTGCAGTCCAGGCTGCGGCCACTGGAAAAGGACCACTCAACAACTGGGCGACCCATTTGAGTGACCCGCTCCACACAACCATTTTGGATACCTTCGGATTTTTCTCCTAAGCAATTTGTTTGTTTATGGATCTTTTTTTAATAGTTGAGAACATGTTAATTAGTGCATAATGAAATGAACTTTGAATGTTCTCATCGTCTTGTATAAACTGTAATACTATCACTATTATATTATTTGACATTGTTAATTAACTCCTATTTGCTAATCTACATCTTTATAACTCCAACATTATAGTTAATTAACTCACATTAATTTTGCACCCAGTTTCTATAAAACATGTCTCATACGTGTATATTCATTTCAATCTGGATACATATCAATTTATATTGTTCCAACTTAGGAAATCTTATTAGGTTTCGGTTTCGGTTCGGTTCTTTGTGAAAATTATTTCCCTCCTTAGCAGACGTAGAGATGATGATGTAATAGACGAACCTTCGGATGCTGACCACCAAATAAGCAATCAAAGACAGTAGTAGACCGATATCGATGATGATAGCACAAAACGTGCTGTTGTCAACCGATCTTGCTTCAATAATTGTTGTGCACATACATGGCCCTTCCTGAGAATTTGAGGGTCCTAGACGAAATTTAAAGAACAACTCAAAAGTATCCCTATTTGACATCAATTTTATTAGAGGATATTTGAAATTGAATATACTAAAAACATATATAATATGCTAAAACTATCATAAATGACCCTTTTTTTAATAGTTTAAAGATAATTATAAATGACCTTATAGGTCAAGTATTTAAAAATAAAGATTTAAAGTCATATAACTAGTCAAAAAATAACTCATCTATATTTAGTTTCACTAACTTTTTACTAGTCGAGATAATAATTCTAAATGAAAAGAAAGAAAAAAAAAAAAAAAACCAAAGAAATTGCCCACACACACATCAAATAATAATAATAATACCATTCTTTGACCCTTTTTAGTCATAAATCGCTAGAAGAAGCTGGCGATTTCACTTCAAATTGAAAATAACGACTGATCCGCAGCAGCTCCTCTCCTTCACCACCGTCAAAATCCGCCTCCCCCTTCCGACCGCGGCTGCTCTTCCCCTGAAGTTTTCGTGAAGCGTTCATGTAGATCTTCAATTTGTGTACAGAGAAATGACAACTAAGAATTTCGTTTGGAATATAGCTAAAAAGTACTTCACCGCAGGTCTAATAGGCCTCACAATTTCTGACCGATATGCGAGCCTTACAGCTGTTCGCGGTTCATCAATGTCTCCCACTTTGAATCCCCATGCCGGAAACTCCAGCAGATTTGCGTTTGGTAACTTCGCTATTTTTTTACCTATCTATCTATCTATCTATCTATTGCCCTTTCTACTTTTGAGTCTCTTGATTGATTGTGTGTGTTTTCCTTGCAGATGATTACGTATTAATTGAGAAATTATGTCTCCAGAAATACAAATTCTCACGAGGCGACGTCGTTGTTTTCCGGTAATTTAATCGATTCTCCTCTAGATGTTTCACCTAAAACTATACCAGCATTTCTGCACATTTTCTCTTTAATTGGGACAATGCCATTAGATTGGCTGAGTTAGGGATATTGATGTTGTTGATAATCTGCTCGTTGTTAATTATTCACAGGAAATTTTGCTTAAAATCACATTAATGTAAATTTTGCTTAATAGGATATGGTGATGAATTATATTGAATTTGTTGTACAGTTCCCCAAGTAATTATAAGGAGAAACATGTGAAGAGAATTGTTGGCTTGCCTGGTGACTGGATCGATCTCTCTTCGATTGACACCTTGAGGGTCCCTGAAGGACATTGTTGGGTTGTGGGAGATAATGCAGCTTTTAGCACAGACTCGAGATCACATGGCCCGGTACGAAACTATAATTCCGTAGTTATACAATCATTAATGTCGAAAAAATACGTGTAGTTTGCATTGGTTACGATTATTGTATAATCAGGCAAGAAAGACTATCGGAAGTGCTATTTGTGCAAATTTTGGCTTTCTTGGTATTTCACACTGGTTTGATTGTGGTTTCTTTTGTCGAGCAACGGTATAGGATGAACCACTTAAAACTTATTTCATCGTTTCATTTGTCTCTATATTGAGGTATGTATGCCGTGTGAAGTTCGATTTTTCAGTTGCATGGAACTTGAATTTGAATTGAAGTATGTACATTACACATCAAATCATGATATTGTCAAATGGTTGGAGCCAATATTGTCTACGCTATAGTTGCTTAAAGGTGATGCTGCTTGAAGAATTACTTAGTAATTGTCTCATTGGGTGGTATTAGTTGATGGTAATCTTATAGAAGTTCTCAAGTTCATCATGGTTTTGCAACTTAACATATGATTGATTAGCTTTATGTCCACTCTTTGACCGCCAATCATCAATTGAACTGAATAACCCGAATCAGCTCATTTCTTCATGTTGAGTTCCCAAAATCATATTAAAGTTGTTCAATTGATCTCTGTTTTATTTGTTGGGCCAAGATACTAATCAGGTTTATAGTAACGTATTCATTATGCTCATGTTGTTCTAAACGTGATATGATTGCATCTTCTTTGACTAAACTGTCAACTTTCGCAGATTCCTATGGGTTTGATTTGTGGACGAGTTACACATGTTGTATGGCCACCTCAAAGAATAGGTAGAATTGATGGTACAGTCAGCATTTTGCCTGAAGTGCAGGTTCATGTTTCAGAAGAACATTGAGACTGAGTATTTCATGGTTGAAAGACCAGCCAACAAGCTCGTCTTTTTCTCGAGATTTTCTTACACCAATATCCTATTTGACATCTATTTGAGGCTTTTAAAACCTCAAATAGATGGTGATTTTTTTCTGGATTACATTTCCTTTGTTCCCCATTCTATCATTTTCTTTATTTCTTCGATTTCTCAGTTGCTTTCGGTTAAGAGTTGGGCTTAACAATTTATAAAATTGCATTGCGTAATTTGGACTAGATCCTCAAGCAATATGGGCCGGACCTTTCATCTCGGGCTTAATATAATGTTTGTATCCAGAATTAGCCCACTGAAGATTAGAGTCGGGCCAATCAAGTTGCTTCACGTGTATACTGGATAAATAACTTTAAATACATGGATTATGTAATATAAATATTAAATATACTTTGAATATTAATAGTAACTATCTACCACTTCTAGTGTGATTGATAGTCAAAAATCGTTCGAGTTCAATTTGTTAACTAAATGAACCAAATCCGAACACATTTTTGTTCAATAAGCTACAAAATTTGGTTCCAATTCGAGTTCTTCTAGGAAAACAATAAATATAACAGATTAAGTTACTTGATTACAATTATTGTTTGGCTCGATTAAAGCTTGTACGAGCTAAGTCTTCATCATGTGGGCCGATTGGATAGATGGATGCATAAATCCTGATATGCTATGGGATGTCTCGTATGTTAGCACATCATGTCATCATCTCTATTAAAAGGAGGATTAGGCTTGTTAATTGCACTTGCAACAACCAGATTAATCTATAATTCACGGAGATACGACTTTCAGGTCTTTCTATATATATATATATATATTAAAAAAATAGTTATAAATAAATTTAACGGTCCCGAAATCGAATAGAAAATGAACTAGAAAAAAGAACAAACACCAATAGTCTAATACCACTAGTCGATATGAATTGAAATCTATTATATTAATTTATTATTTGAATATAATGTGGTGGGATACTCAATACTGGAAAGCAAAAAGGTCCCTCTTTAATGCAGGGAAGAAAAATAATATAAAGGGCAGCCCTGTTATTTTCTCTCGTATAAATACGGAAAACACACACGTCCCAATAGGTGTGCGACGGTTTTGCTTTCTTCCTGCTCTCTTTCATTTTCCCCTAACCTCTCTGCCGTAAAGGTACGATCATCTTCTTCGTCTTCTTCGATGCTTTTTATTTCTTTGTAAATGTATATCACCTTCTATTTCTCTTCTGCATTCTGTATTATTTCAATTTTTTTTTTATTTTTTCTGGTTCAAAATTCTAATGTTGCCTTTGTTTTCTCCTTTTTTTTGGGGATTTGCATACGCTGCGGTTTAGGTGAAAGAAGAATTGAGGTTTTTGGATTTCATCGTGATCAGTGAGAGAGGATTGGATTGACACAATGGGAAGGCTATTTCTGATTCATTTAGAAGGGTACAAGTATTCTTGCAAGCACTGCAAAACGCATCTCGCTCTCTTCGACGACATTATTTCTAAGGTTGCTTATGTTTTCAGTCTCGTTCAGTTTATTTTTTATACTGATTTTTTCATGTGAATGTATGTGCTGATGTTGATAATTTGATACTGTAGGGTTCTGATACTTGTAATTTGTTTGATGATCTAGTTTTCGGTGAAAATTAGTGAACTAGAAACACTGCCTTGTTCGTTCAGTTCCAGAAACGGTGTTTGCTCACTATTTCTTCATCTTCATTGAATTATTATGCTATTTGTTTCGTGGCCATGTGATTTTGGAGTGCTACGGCACCTCCCTTCTTGAACCTTTTTTTGCAGAAAATTATCGGTACTTGTGTTTGTGACATATAGTAGGATTATACCAAGTCTCAAACTCATTGATCAGTTACTCATCCTATAGGGTGTGGGTGTTGGTTGAGCGAGAACATTGTTCTTCAATTTGTTGTGAAGATAGCAGAGCGCTTTTGATTTGTTAACATTTGTCAAGTATTTTCTAAGTTGATATTTCTTGCCTGAAAATGAAACATCCTGCTTGTGATTTTTTCTTTTGTTGGTTTTTCAGACAAGCCTCCCGTTTGAACGGCTGTTTCATGATTTTTGAATATTATATTCTTCCCTTTGGTTATAAAGGTGTCTTCATTGATACAAAGAGTAGAGGAGAATAGGTTTTCCTTGATACCGAGAATTTAAACATTCAATTTATGAGCAAACAGTTGTCAAAATTTGCTTGTTTGGTTGTCTTAATTACAATTTTGTCGCCATAAGTAAAAAAAAAATGGGAAGTGAAAATGACAAACGACATTTATTGTTCAAGTTTGACATTAATTGTACTCGTGCATGCAACTGGAAAGAATTTGTCGTTTGCACTTTCCGGTATTTTGTACTTATATAGGGGAAATCTCAGTCTTCTAGTAGTAAATTGGACAAAGTTTGTGATAATATTTTGAGTAATTGTAAATTACAAAACAACATACTCCATAAGCTTTCCGCTTTTAGCGGCATACACAGTGAGCTACTTGATCTTAATGGCACTTAAATTGAAAGTAAATGAACAGATATATGGGTTCAAAGCCTTATCTATTACTGTCTGAATTTTTTTATATATTAGGTGACTTCTTTGCTGTTGAGTCCAAAACACATAGTCTTGTCATTTAGTACTGTCTCTCCCGAGGTAGACCATTATGTGTAGGTGTCAACTTTGTGTAATGAGATTCTATAAGGCATTAGGACATTAGGGGACTCTTATGTATCACTACGTGTCTTGGGCATATCAGCGATGAATTTAATATCCGTGAATATGGAATTTGTTAACTCTTAGTTTAAAAGGATTATACCAAATCTGTCAGTGTGGATAACTGACAAATAGTGTCTTGTTTCTTTGTTATAACCCCAATAATTTAGCTTGCTTTCAAAGGATTAAAGAGAAGATATGGCAACATTCGTGCTTGATCTTTGAAACTGGTGTAGCACATTTGATTTTGATCTATTAAGCTATTTAGATTGCTGTTTGCATTTGTTCTTCATCCTGGAGTTCCTGAATGGGAAATTCCTGTAATTGGTATATCCTGGAATCTGCTTGCTGATTTAATTGGGGATCAAAAATCTGGTAGCTAGGCTTTGAACCATGAATTATATAGTTGTATTTTCATGTGTGTGGATGGTTTTTGGTTGTAAATAGTTGTATTTCTATGATACCGTTCACTGCAATATAGTAAAGTTTGACAGGACTAGGAAACAATGTATTGAGCCTAATCGAATGAGAAGAACAGTTTGGGCCTTCATTAAACCATGATTTGGGTATAAGCATCATGGGAGAAGGAAACCACATAGGTATTTACATCCCCCAGTTATTCTGGCCTGTTCATTTGCAGCATCAACTATTTCAGTCCAGCCCCCTTTATTGCGACCTTATAACATCTCTAAAACCAATAGTATGAGAATACATCTTCCTGTGCCTTTCCCTTTTCTTTAGCCCCAAAAATTACAAAACTTGAGAAGAATTGAAAAAATAGAGCAATATATCTTGTTTCATATTTCTTGCAGATGAGGTAGTAAAGAGTCACGAGTGAAGCATAAGTGCCTGCATAATTTGTCATGTCTAGATTCTAAATTTTATGAATGGTATAGAAACTTCTGTATCAAGAAAAACTTCAGTTCTTAGTGATGTTCAAATTCGTCTTTGTTAATTTGTATATCTGGAACGTAAAGTGCCTATGATGAGTTTGATATAATTTCCATTTTTGGCCATCAAAACTTTGTGATTTTCCTATATATTTTCCTTAGATATTTTTAATGTTTCCACCTGGTACAAGCATATATTTATTGCATGAATCCTGACCATTTTTTTTTCACCTGTTCTCAGTCTTTCCACTGCAGGAATGGCAAGGCCTATCTCTTTGATAATGCGTAAGTGCTCTTGATAATTTTGTTCACTTTCAGCTGACTTAAGTTTGGAGTTCATCTCTAAAGACCTTATGATCGGATTTAAAATTAAAACCATATAATTTATCCAGATCCGTATCCCATAAACATCAATATATTGGGTTTTTTTACATTTTTTTGACTAGATTTTCCTGAAATAGTTTCCTTATTTTGAGAGCAGAAAAACTCGATGGATATTTTGGTAGGCTTTTCATACTTGCAGAGCTATTACTTCTTGATATATACTTGACAAGATGGTACTTGATGATAGTGTGAATGTTACTGTTGGGGAGAAAGAAGAGCGGATGATGATGACTGGAATGCACATTGTCGTTGACATATTCTGCGTTGGCTGTGGCTCTATTGTCGGATGGAGATATGTCAGATTTCTCACTGCTTTCTTATTACTTGTTTCCAATCATGTTTCTGTTATCAATGCTCGATATTAATTTTTTATTTTGTTTATTTATGCCAGGAAGCTGCTCATGAGAAGAGCCAAAAATATAAAGTAGGAAAATATATCCTTGAGAGGTATACAAAAATGCATTTTTACGCCTGTTTTCTTATATTCTGTATTATTAGCATATATCATACACGAAGCTTGTCTTTCTTGAATAGGTTTAAAGTGTTGGGTCCTGATGGAAGCAGCTATTCTCCTACTCTAGATAATCCCCAGATGTCTGGAAGTGATGCCGATGACATGTGAATAAATTCGGGAGTTTCTGATGATTAATCAAACTGGTTCGAACTGTACATTCTTGAACTGCAGTGTCTTGATTCCTTTTTGCCTGCTAATTTCAAATTAGTAGATATGAACATAGTTAACTAGTGACCGGTTCTGCTCCAGATGAATTTTTGAGTGCCCAACATTTGTGGCGTCGAATTAAACGAGCTCTAGAAAATTGGCTCTTTGGTACTGCTATGCTTGATACAACCTCGGGTGAAACTCTCGAAATTTTGGGTTTTTTTTTGAGGTTATGTTTGGAATTTGGATGACCACTACCATTTAAATGAAGTCTTTGTTTAGGAGCCTAATCATTTAACAAACCCCTTTTGACTTGATTCACAAATCACTGTTTAGCCAACTTTTCACCTTCTTCTTTTCCCCTTGTTTTCTTCGGTGGTCTTTATTTTAAATTTTTCTAGTGGATTTAAAAGTTACTGTCAAATATTCAAGGCAGTGCGAGCGAGTTCTTAAACTCAGATTTGAATTTTCAAAAATTTAGATGTTAGAAATTATGTCATCACGAGATGTAGTTGCAATTTAAAGTCCACACACATGATTTTGTGCTTTTTAGTATATCTGAAAAGGCAGGATGCATGTAATTGTTATGATAAAATATCGGATGATTTTCAGGTGGTGGGGTGTTTCAGTTTCTTTCTTTTAATTTACTTAGTCTCTATTTAATGTTTTTCTTTTTTAAATATTAGTTCTAGTGTACATCTATGTGTCTTATTAGCTTGGCATTTGAAAATAAGTATGCTTATTTCTAGTTTAACATTTTGAAGCAACCCATAATTTGCTATCCAAGTTGAAAGAGAGAAAAAAAAAAACACCAAATTTATTTAAATGGTTGTATAAAAAAGAGGTCAAAGGCAATCTCAACTAAGAAAGTTGACTAGAAAAGTGCCAACGTTTTAAATTTCTTGGAAATGTAAAAGGGCCCACAATTAATTTAAATCACACGATTAACGAGGCCCACAATATGGGCCCAAATGACAAGTCCATTCAGCTGTGGCCCTCAGGTGAAGTATTCTTTGTAGCCCATATTTAACTTTTAAACCCAATCCTTAATTATTTATTTATTTACTTTTTCTAATCGCTCCTCTTTTTGCCATCTTAGGCACGTGCCTAAATTTAGAATATGTTTTTCCTTTGCTTTTAATCCCTTTTTAAGGATTGAAATGCCCCACCATGGCGGTGGTATTTGCAAATTCTTCAAAAAAAAAATTGGTGATTGTACGTAAAATATAAAATATTAGTTATTTTAAAAAAATCGAGGTGTGTTGCAAATATTAGAATTTTTTTTTAATAATTTTACGTGCTTGCAAAATAAATTTTCGTGATTTTGATAATTATCTGAAATGTACTTAAAAATGAATGTAAAAATAATATAATTCAATGTAGCTTTTTCTTTGCTTTCGTGAGAATGAGGTAAAGTAGTGTTCTTCAAATGCTGAACATCTTTAACATTTGCTTGTGATTTATAAAGCAATGCTATAAGTAGCTCTTAGCAATCACATCATATACATATTAATAGTAAAACTCAACAATTAATAGTATTTACTATTTAGTATTTACAGTAACACTCTACACCCCAACCCATCACCCCCTCACCCCACCCATACACACAAAATCAATTTTTATTTTGAATTTTTTTGATATAATGTGTCGGTTTTATTCTTATTTTTATTGTTTTTAAATAAATATATTTATTTATGATAATATATAGTAAGTGAGAAGGACTTGTTTGTAGGAGCACACTTAAATGGTAAGAATTAATTAAAAAGAGCAGCAGAACAATAAATGCATTGACATGCACATCTTTAATTTCACCGTCACCCTCCTAACAACAGTTGGATTTCAATTTTTGTATACATAATCGCTTGCAGTAAATGGTGGAGTAGTAATTCAGTCCCATTTAATTACAGATCATTTAGGCCTCACATATATTAAAGTCTAATTCATGAGCCAAGTGCTTTTTTTTATTCAGAGAGAAATTCAATTTTAATGTAAATTCGTACAATATTATTCTTAAACCTTAAAAGCCATTAATCAAATGACCACACATTAATCAAATGACAATGATTTCAAACACTGTATTAACTGATAAAGTAAAAAAAGTCCCCCATTAAAGATTTTAAAAAATGGAATCTTAATCTTATAGTAATTAATAATTTTCTCGTTTCCCTAGGGGGGCCACTTTTATTAATATTCAAACAAACATTAAACAGATCATACATACTAATTTCAAATCCTTAATCGAGCTGTGTGTGTGTTCGATTTCAAAAACAAAGAAGAGACATATATAAAACAGAGTGTGCCCCTTTGTCAAAGGAATCAAACAAAAGACTACCCCTGATTCATGAACTTCCCATTCCCAATCTTTTGTCACTGCCATTGAGCTTCTATTATTATAAGCTATAACCATCTCCCTCCCTCTCTCTCTCTCTCTCTCTCTCTCTCTCTCTCTCTCTCTCTCTCTGCAGTTCGTACCTGTTAGTTCTGCTTCAATAGCAATGGCAGTAAGTACTTTTCTTTTTTTAAATAGGGATCGTATTTTTTTACTTTCTTTTGTTCGGTGGTGTTTGTTTGTCAGTGGGATTTTTCTTGAGGTGGCAACCGTTGATAAAAATGGAATCTTTAGTTCGTTTGTACGCTGATTTTTTTTTTTTTTTTTTTTTTTTTTTTTTTTTTTTTTTGTGTGGGTTTTGATCCATTAGTTTTGGGTGTATGTGTTTCTTGAAATAATTAACAGAAACTCTTGATTTTGTTCCTGGAGATTTGTGCTTGCTGGTGGTGGTTTTTTTTCCTTCCTGGTGATGTTTCTTATTCTGCAATGTGTTTGTTTTTAAATCACAAATGGAACCAGATTCTTCTTTTACATGTAATAACTTTGCTTTCTGGTTGTTTCTATGTGTTGCGAATTTCTTTAGTATGAATTTGGCCAAAGAGAATCAGATTCCAAAAGTGGTTGACAAAGTAATATTTTAATGTGGGAAATGCAGATGTCAGTACAGTTGAGGCCACAGAACAGAGATCTTGGGATGGTTATGAGAGAAGTTGATGAAGATCTTGCTATTTTCTTGGGGATGCGTACTAATGCCGATAATCAAATGATTGACCATTTTCTTGTTGATGCTTCTCTTGATTTTCATGTCTCTAAAGGTATCTATTTTTCTCTGCATTGTTTAATCTTTAATAAATATTTTTTTACTTTTTTTTTAATTTCCCCTGTTCTTTTTTCCCCATGACATTGCAAGCATGATCCAGATTCGTCAAATATCGTCGTTCGATTGTATTTAAGAATGGGACTAATTTGCAGGTTCGGAGAATGAATCTCAAGCAGAGGCTCTTCCATCTATGGCTGATGAGAATCTCCTCAATTTGGACATTGAAACCAGTGATTATAGTTGGTAACTCAAGTTTGTTTGTTCTAATTACTTTTCTGCTTTTATGATTGATTCAAATTGTTTGAAAACAGAATTCAGACAGCACTTTTCCTTATCCTCTCCAGACAAACTGATTAGTACTAATGTTTTTTTTTTCTTGTCAGGCTTCTCCCTCAACCCAATTCCTCTTCACTTCCTTCAGTAGAAACCGACGAACAAGATTCTGCATCGAGCCAGATTAAAATTTCAGAAAGTGCTGCCATTTCTTCTAAATCTGAGGCAAGTGCACCATTTTATCCTATTAAATGTTGCTTCTCGGATACAATAATTTTTGACGTGATTAATTCTCTTTTGGCTGCAGCTGGAAAACACACGCGATGAAGAATCTTCTGCTTCCTTGAACGACACTTCTTCCACCTCAGCAATCAAAAAGCCATTATCATCCAAGGATAAAAAACCATCCTTGCCAGCAAAATCGAAGCCCGCCCCTCGTACTTCAACACCTACTTCAAGACCTACATTATCTTCTTCCACAACAAGACCTATATCTCGTTCCTCTACTCCTTCTTCCAGACCCTCTATACCAATCATTTCAAAGTCCGGGCCGCGATCCTCTACACCTACGGCCCGCAAACCTACCTGTGCTCCTGCACTAGACCGATCTTCTTCCGGGAAAAAAATGGGCCCCACAATAACGAAAAGTTCCGTGCAGTCTCGTGGAACTTCTCCAACGGTGAAGAGTAGGCCATCAAAGCCCTCGGAGAATATCCTCTCTTCATCTCAAAATCCAAAAGTCTCATCTGTGCCTAAAAGGCCCGTTTCTGCTTCTAGAAGCACTCGCTCCTCTTCTTCTTCAAATGAGAAACCGAAACCGAGACAGAAATCGTGTTCACCTCCCAAAGTGAGAGCTTCTGTAATAAGGAGTGGCTATAAAACGGGGAGCAAGATTCTATCAAGAAGCAGTAATGGTGTAGATGATGACGTAAATCCTGTATTGATGGGCACAAAAATGGTGGACAGAGTGGTCAATATGAGAAAACTAGCTCCACCTAAACAAGATGAATACGCTGTTTCTAGTGATAATACGAGGAAATCTTCTCACGAGAATTCGGGTTTTGGGAGATCTCTCTCGAAGAAGTCGCTAGACATGGCTATTAGGCATATGGTATTGCATCTTTGACTCACTTTTTTCACTTACAACAAGTTGAATGCTTATTTATTACATGGATAGAAGAATGAAGTCTGTGATTCTTTTGTACAGGATATTAGAAGAAGCATTCCTGAGAAATTACGGCCAATAGCAACTCGTTCTGGTTGTGCTAAGAGCAGTACTACTACTACTGTAGGTGATCTTTCAGAATCTCCACTTTCGTCGAACTGTGACAGTTCAAAGTCCAGCATGTGAATTAATGGGTGACTGAATCTCAATCATCGAACGTTGAATTTGAGTATTGCATTTGGACATGTTATTTTAGTGATGATCCTTTGCAGTATAATTAGTGTTACTACAGTACTAGTGTGTGTGTGTGTGTGTGTGTGTGTGTGTGTGTGTGTGTTTATTGTTAAATTGTGTGTAATAACAATTCAAGGGCTCCCTCTTTATTTGTTACTACTATTAGTCTATAATATTATCGAATTTGCAGATTACTAATAGTGTTGATTTATATGCCTAAAGATTATTATTTTGTATTAGTGTATGATTAACCTACTAATCAAAGCAACTAATTAAGTTAATCGTCTGCTCTGTTTTCTTCACTACTATATTAATCGCATGCAGCCGAATCCACCGTATTGTTAAATAAAAAAGGATTAGAACATCCAAAAAAAATTTAAAAAATGGAGAGACAAGGAATCACGAACCAACGTTTTACGGACGGTGTTGTGTGCGTCTTGAAATTGATAAATCGTTGGTATTCTGATTCTTCCCTAATCGAAACTATGGATGCTGTGCCTGCACCATTTATCACGTACTCTAGTAAACACGCAATCATATTTTCTCACGACACTATTATATTCTTCTCCATTGAAAGAGTTAAAACTTTTTTTGTTAGAATAATAATCAAAATCAACGACGAACACGATTTCTTTCATATAATAGGAACTTTTATCATACGTCCAAAAACCAATCAAATGATTTAAAAGCAGCACCCACTAACCAACTACTCTCAAACAAGTTATTGGAGATGCATTTCATACAATACTAGGATGAAAATGAGGCTAAAAGACACACTCACTCACAATGTCATCGAAAAACCGAAGTTGGCTAGAAATTTCTGAAGAGTTTGTCGACCCCATTGCATAGCACTTTCCAATACGTTATCTTCTTCCATATGCTCTCTCTCACAGAATCGCCCCTTCTCGTCATCCTTAATCATCAATTCACTTGTTTCATCTTCTTCTTGTTCTGCTTCTTCTTTTTCTTCTTCGTCTTCTTTTTGTGTAATAATAGTTGTTGTCAACTCAGAAGGACATGCTGCAATGTCTGACGAATAAGAATTCTTCGTCTGCATATTAATTTTTTCAGTTTTTTCAATTATTCTGGTGCTAGCGATCTTCTATAAATAACACAAAAGAACTGAGCAGTTAGAAATTACATCATTTCTGGTACCATCAAGGTAATTAATTTTACCTCAATTTCGTCAAATTCAGCTGTCGTGCTCTCAACACTGTTATTCTCCACCACCGGCTTTAGCTTCGTTTCTTCCATTTCTTCCTCAGCCATCTGAATTAAACCTGGAACTAGAACATGAACACCTTCATCTTTCGAGCTTAACAAATTACTTCCATTTCCATACACAACTTCTTCCTTTGTCTGATCAGTTATACCCGTTATTACAGCACCACTTACAAAACTCAAATCTTGTTCCCTCGATTCCTCGGTAATATTTTCTGCAACCATAGGTTCAAATGTCCTCTCTCCATGGTTATTCAATTCCTCATCAAGAATCAATAACTCTGAATAAATCAAGGTCTCGTCATTCAAATCATCTTCTTCAAATATGTGCTGGAGTTCAGGGTTATCCCAGTCTTCAAACACAATTATAGTCTTATCAGTATCCCATGTTTCAAGAATTCTATCGGGGCCCGTCTGCCATGATATAATTCCAGTATCTCCCTTCAGAATGAACTTATACTTCATCATTTTGCCACTTGGAATATCCTGTTAGTCATCAAGAAACATAAATTATCAGAATCTTGAATTTTTTCGACCAAATAAAGAATCACTTTTTTCTTTAACACCCCGCAAAATAAGATAATCATCTTACCATTTCTGCAGTCCACAGATGCCCATCAGACCAATTTAAAGGCACACCCTCAGACGGATCCCATAATCCAATAATCGGGTCATCCCCTACTATTAGAAATTGCTGTCCGAATTCGCACTCCTTGTGTAATTTGAATCTGACATGGATTGTTTTAGGATGATCTGCACCAGAGTTAATTGTCTCGATTTCTTCGCTTTCGAAATTTGTCTGCATAAATAGTAACAAGCTGGACAATCAGAACAATATCGATCATTGCTATTTTTTTTTGGCTTAACCAGAAAAAACACAGTGATAATCTGTAAAAGTAGTTTGTATAAGTTGAACATATAATACTGTTTCCACATTACAAACATGAACCCCAAATTACAACTCAAATCGCATATTTCCATGTTTTCATTCGACCACAAACGGGCCTCATCAGATCAACCAGATAAAACGGAATTAAATTTGGTCGTCAACAAAATTGCCAAAATTAACATCCATCACCTGAAGAGAAGAAGCAGCAGCAGTAACTGGATGAATACACCTCCGCCGGAAAGAGACAGCTAACGAGCAACAATCTCCGGCACCAACCTTCTGATGTTGAACAAAAGCATGTTCTTGTCTTGACCACCACAACACTGCTGTATCTCTCTGTTGTTTATTATTGCTGCACATAAACAGCTTCAAATCATATGAACTCGCCAAAGTTTTCATCCCTCTTCCTTAGCTTGTGAAGAAATGATTTTTAATTTTTAATATTATTATGGTTACGATCATTATTCAGGAATGACAATTGTGTGTGTTTTAGTGTGTGTGAGTGATCCGGATTTTGTTACAACTAAACAATATATTGTGTGCGTTTAACACACACTTGTAAGTAGGACTCGAAAATTGAGACTTGTGGCTACGCTTCATTGGCCCAAAATAGGCAAAATTTATAAGGGCGAGAGTGTTTACTTACGGGCCCAGTGTGCGCGTGTGTGCCACTCATCTTCATTCTTCATCATTATATCTAGATTCTCAATTATCAACCGACTTTCACATTCTCAATGCAACTAAATTAAAATTAAGTTATTTATTAGTATGTACATTTCAGTAACTTTTACGTTAGTTAAATGAGCAAGTACCATTGCGGAATATAGTAGAAATAATTCAATATTACGATGATAAGTATAATAAATAAAATTATATAAAACCAATTTTTATATTGGAAAAAGAAGAGCAAACCCGTGAGCGTGGTTATAATTTATCTATTAAATATATAATATAATAATAGGCAAATTGGGCTTTTCTTGTTGTTCTAGTTGGGCTGTACAACCTATTGATTGGGCCTAATCCCTAATGATATTAAATATAAAGCTGGTAAATGAAGAAGCCCAATTGCTTAAAAGAAAATGATAATTGTTGTTAACTTGGACCATTTAAATAATTGTTGTTAAATAGTGTCAGTGAACCTGAAACCCTACTATGCTATGCTATGCTGTGCTGTCTGAAGGAGATACCTTTGCACAGAAAACAAAACAGCTCTCTATATCTGCTCCACTTGTTCTTACTACTCACTTCAAAATCGACACCAATTTATCAAAATTACCATTCGTGCTAAAAATATTTTTTTATTTTTACATAATTGTCGTTGTGACACTATAATTTTACCGTTGATGAATTTTCCACAATTTTTGCAGAGAAATTAATAAATAAATTATTTAAAAAAAAAACACCAGGCGCGGAATTTTCACGGTCTAATATAACAGAAGTGAAAATCGTACGGCGAATCTTAAGAGAAAATGACCACACCAGATTGCACATCCTTATTTCTTGTTTGGTTATTGCACAGTAAGTTACTACAATTCCGAGGTTTACTATTCCAAGTCTTGTATCATATTAAATCAAAGTCGCGTATTCATATGAGCACTAAATTAAAGTCGTCATTTCTGGGAAACTTTATTGATTTTGTCACTAATCAGGCCCAATTGGCAACATCATATACCAATTTTTGTTTGTGGGCATAGATAGCCCTATATTATTAGCTTCCAAGAACGTACTAATATGAATATTAATACAAGGGCCCAACCAACTATTCTTTTTTCCTAGCTTTGACTGACTTCTAAGTTCTAACCTCATTTTTTGTTCACTTATTGATAATTTTATTTTTACCCTTTAAAAAATATATTTACTAATCTTTTTTATGTAAAAATACTAAAATGACCTTTTACCTTATATTGAAATAAAAAGAAAATTATATATGTAAAAGAAAAATTATATATAGGGGCCCGTTCGATTGTTATAAACTAAATATTTTTTATTGTTTTATTTTATTAATTTTTTTTTTTTTTGTAAAAGAAAATGGTCAATGTAAATAATTAGTCTCCAAGTCTTGCAAATAATAGGTAAGTTTGGATTAAAAAATAAATAAAAATAATAAGTTGACGTGAAGTCAATGTAAGACACGTGAAGAATCAGTAGTTCCTTACATACTACATACTACATAATCTTTCCCTCCAACACAAATATTTAGGCTTGAATCTCCTTTTTCTGTCTTCCATCAATGGCTTCCTCATACTCAATCCTCGTACTATCATCCTTAATCATCTTTTTCCATTCGCCATGCTTCGTATCTGCAATCCTGAGAAGCAACGAAACAGACAAGCTTGCATTACTCGCCATTAAAGCACAAATAACCCACGACCCCAACGGAATCTTCACATCATGGAATGATTCATCTCATTTCTGCGCGTGGCCCGGTGTTACATGTGGCCGTCGTCACCAGAGAGTCACCGCCCTCAATTTATCATCCCTCGGCTTAGTAGGTACACTGTCACCTTACGTCAGTAACCTCACATTCCTCACAGGCCTCAACGTTGAACTCAACACTTTCCACGGCGTAATTCCACCGGAAATTGGAGCTCTTTTTCGTCTCCGTCATCTGAATTTAACCAACAACTCATTCTCCGGCGAGATTCCGGCGAATCTCTCCGGCTGCTCCAGTCTTGTCCTTATCAGGTTTGGTTGGAATAGGTTAACCGGGAGTTTACCATTTCAGCTAGGTAAACTTCAAAAGCTTGAGAGAATCCAGCTTCATTACAATAATTTCTCTGGGAATATTCCAGAAAGTTTCGGTAATCTTTCTTCAGTGAGGTCTTTTTCGTTCGCTGCGAACAATTTCCAGGGCAAAATCCCTGATTTTCTTGGCCGGTTGAAAACCCTGAATTTTCTTGGTTTGGGTTTAAATCAATTTTCTGGTGTAATCCCTCCATCAATTTTTAATATTTCATCCCTCGTAACGTTTTCTCTACCTTTTAATCAGTTCGAAGGAACTCTGCCATCAGATTTAGGTTTTACTCTCCCTAATCTGCAAGTACTAAATGCTGGTCATAATTTGCTGACAGGGCCACTCCCATTTTCATTGTCTAACGCTTCTAATCTTGTTGAATTTGATATTACTGGTAGTAATTTTACCGGGAAAATTTCGATAGATTTTGGGGGTTTGCCTAATCTTTGGTGGTTGATTCTTGCTTCTAATCCTCTCGGAACAGGGCAATTATCCGAAGATTTACGGTTTTTCGATTCCCTCACAAATTGCAAGAACTTGAAAGTTCTTGATTTGAGCAATTGTGGGCTTGGAGGCACATTACCTGATTCTGTAGCTAATCTGTCGGCGAACCTTTTGTCGTTACGATTAGGAGATAACAAACTTTCGGGTAGTATAAACGTAGGAATTGAGAACATGGTTAACTTGACTGAACTTCAGTTACAAAGGAATAGATTCACAGGCAGCATTCCTGCAGTTCTTGGCAATCTCTCAACGCTTCGGTTGTTGGATTTGTCCGAAAACGAGTTTTTAGGACAAATTCCACCATCTCTGTCTAAGCTAAGACAACTCTATTTGCTCCATCTAAACAACAATCACTTGAATGGAAGTATTCCTCCTAGTTTCGGAGATTTTCAATACTTACAAGAGCTAGACCTTTCTCGTAATAATCTCACCGGTACCATACCGAAAAATCTCATGACTCTTTCGTCTCTAACTCTTTCCTTAAACCTCGCCGAAAATCAATTATCTGGTTCACTTCCTTATGAGGTCGGTCAACTGATAAATCTTGGGTACTTTGATGTTTCCGAAAATTTATTGTCGGGTGAAATCCCTTCTACCTTAGGCAGTTGTGTGACTTTGGAGCGCCTTAATATGGCTGCAAATTCTTTCGAGGGTGCTATACCTTCATCCTTTACTTCTCTTAGAGGTCTCGAGTATTTGAACCTTTCGCGCAACAATTTATCCGGACAAATTCCGGGTTTTTTCCAGAGACTTTCTTTCAAGAATTTGAACTTGTCTTTCAATCAATTCGAGGGTCCGATACCAACTGAAGGAATTTTCGGTAATGCATCTGCATTCTCTGTTTTCGGTAATGATAAGCTTTGTGGAGGTATACCTGATTTGGGATTAGCCGTTTGCCCAAAAAACAAGCGGAAAAAAGGAAATCTCGTCGTGGTTTTGATCTCATTGTAATAATCCCTGTACTTTGTGGACTTGTTTTGATCTTCTCTCTTCTCATAATATGGCGCCTAAGGAAAAGAAATTTGGCGCCTATTACATCATCATCATCTCCAACAGAAATAATAATATTTTCGAAGGTGACTTATGATTCTCTGTACAAAGCAACAGATGGATTTTCGTCGGCAAATTTGATCGGTGCTGGTTCCTTTGGATCCGTGTACAGAGGAATATTACTTGAACAGGGTCGAAAGATTGTCGCAGTGAAGGTTTTTCATGTCCACAAACGAGGAAACAACAAGAGCTTCTTGTCTGAATGTAAGGCCTTGAGAAACATCAGACATAGGAATCTTGTCAAAATGTACACTGCATGCTCAACGCTCGATTATTCAGGCAATGAATTTAAGGCGTTAGTTTACGAGTTCATGCCCAACGGCAGTTTGGACAGCTGGCTTCATAACGAGGGAAATTCTCAGATTGGTTTTTTAGGCCTTGTGGAAAGAGTAAGCATAGCCATAGATGTAGCATGTGCACTCGATTACCTTCATAATCAATGCCATAACACAATCGTTCATTGCGATTTAAAACCGAGCAATGTTCTTCTAGACAAAGACATGATTGCCCACATTGGAGATTTCGGCTTGTCCAAATTCTTGCCTGATTTCGTCGCCAAATCTCAAGCTCTGAGCAGTTCAGTTGGGATAAGAGGAACCATTGGCTATGCTCCACCAGGTAATTAATTAATGCTAATTATTCTTCTAGACCATTTAAATATTGGGATTTTGTTTTTAAAAATCGAGAAATTTTATTTTGCAGAGTATGGTATGGGAAGTAATTATTCAGCCGAGGGCGATGTTTATAGCTTTGGGATTTTACTGCTGGAGATGTTTAGCGGGAAGAGGCCTACAGACAGTGGATTTGAGGACGGATTAAACCTGCATTGTTTTGTTAAGACAACGTTGCCTGAAAGAGTGGAAGAAATATTAGATCCTGCGATAATTAATGTGATTAATAATAGTAATAATGATAATGAAATAATGGGTGAAGAGGGTGACGGGATTATAAGTAGTGCACTATTGGAAAGTGGAAACGATAATAAGGTGGATCAAGAAAGAGAGTGTTTGATTTCGATAATGAGAATAGGAGTGGCTTGTTCGGTTGAATCGCCTAAAGAAAGGATGGATATTTCTGACGTTGTGAAGGAGCTTCAGTTGATCAAACAGATTCTGCTCTCGTTTTCGGCCAATCAGCAGGGCTCGACGAGCGGGTACAGTTCAAAATCCTAGGATGTTTTTTTTTGTTCTATTTTTTGTTTGATTATTTAATTATTTTTCTTGTTTAATGTTTCGTTATTAGGAGCCTGAGATTTGAAGGTTCATCGAGCCGTTCGGCGACAAGTAACTGGCAAAATGTTTTGTGATCTAATCGTCATCGCTAATGCTCAGGTATGGAATTCCCTTTGTTCTCATAGCTGCAGTTTATCAAATTATGAAACTACTAGTATTTATTGTAAATAAACAAATAAATTGATTATAATTCTATGAATACAATTTCATGGACAACACTAACAATTGACAATTGACAACAATCCAACATATAAATAATATTTTAGGGAGGAAGCTCCCATAAAAACTCTTGTTTTGCTTTTGTTCTTTCCTTTCTTTAGTTTTAGCCGCCCCATTACTTTTATATGGATCTTTTCGACTATATAACATAAATAAATATAATTAATTAGATCCAAGAACAATTGGAATAGTGAAATTAGAAACCAGGTAAAAAGGGAGTGAAAAGCTGAAATCAACACAAACAACACATGCTGCCTATTACACTCATACAAAAGTCTTTTAAAGTAAATTCTTATATGCCCCATACATAATATATTCCTCTACAATATTCAGCCGCCATGAAAGCTTATTATCTAAACTACCCTTCTTTCAAACTTCTGAAAACTTGCTAGTTACCAGTTTTCTCATTTTCTTCGATCTTCTTCTCATGAGTGGTTGAATAAATTTAAAAAAAAAATGTTTGATTGTTTGAAATCGAACAATATCTTGACAAGTAGTAGTCTCAGTTTTACATTGATCATCTTTGTTATTATCCTCACCGACAGTATCTTTTCCAATGTTTCACTCCACTCCTCTGTTTTTCAGCAACACCAAACTAACAATACTAATCACGATCAAGTATATTGCTCCACAAGATTCCATTCCCGAGTCGAACAATTTTCAAGAACCAACCAATGCAAAGTGAATTTCTTCATGACTTGGATTTCACCTGCGAATTCGTTCGGCCAAAGGGAGTTCTTCGCACTGGAGAGCTTATTCCAAACCAATCCCGAAAGCTGTTTGATTATCATATCAACCACCATGGATTCCGAAGAGGGTTTCAAGATTTTGGAACCCCTGATTTCTCTTGGCTTTCGTGTTCAATCAATCTCCCCCGATCTTTCGGATTTACTCAAGAACACTCCAGCCGAGACTTGGTTAGTAGAAATCAAGAACGGAATCAAGAATCCAGGGGAGATTCCTCTGGCCCAGAATTTGTCCAATTTGATCAGGCTTGCGGTTTTGTACAAATACGGAGGCGTTTATTTGGACATGGATTTCGTAGTGTTGAAAGATTTTTCGGGTTTGAGGAATTCGATCGGTGCACAAAGCATCGATGCAAACGGAAAATGGTCGAGATTGAACAATGCAGTTCTTGTTTTCGACAAGAAACACCCACTCATTTACAAATTCATGGAGGAATTTGCTTTAACTTTTGATGGGAATATATGGGGGCATAATGGTCCATATTTGGTGTCTAGAGTGGTTGATAGGGTGGCTAAAACAAAAGATTTCAACTTTACAGTCTTGCCCCCAATGGCCTTCTATCCCATTGATTGGACCCGTATTTCTCGATTCTTCGCCCGACCCAACGACCCGGCTACTGCAAAATGGGTCGAGGCAAAGATCCGTCACCTAAATAGGTCTACGTATGGGGTCCACTTGTGGAACAGAAAAAGCAGTAAATTCAAGATTGAAGAAGGAAGCATTATATGGAGATTGGTATATGATCATTGTCTTATATGCCACTTTAATTTTTCAACTTCTTAATCAATATATATACACACATGTAAATGTAATATGTCTATAAATGAAATTCTGTAAACAAGACTGTATACATTGAGTTTATCAAAAATATAATCTACCATTAATCAAAAGTCTAATCTTTCTGATCAACCTTAATCTAAATTTAAAACGGCCACATGATCTCCAAAGACTAAATCTTGGAAGCCTCTTGTAAGATTTTGTTCTGAAGAGCACTTTTCGCTGCTTTCGTGATTTTGTATCACCGGTGCTAAAATCGTCATGATTGCAAACTCCACGATCTCGAACATTCTGTCTGAATTCCGACCATGGATCATCGTGAATATTACGATCGCTATCAGTGTCGCTGCCCCACAAAAGAATGGGTTTAATGATTGGTGAAACAGAGTAATCATTAAAATAAGTGGCCAAGCTAGTGTGCTCCATGTCGAATAATCTCCTCAACGACGTGTTTCCTTCTTTCATCAAGTCTAACAAGCTGCTGCTACTACTACTGCTGGTTTTCGAAGATGATGCATCAGAGGAAAAAGAAGAAGATGAAGATGAGGAAAGATAGATGGATTTTTGGTGACGTATGATTTGCATGATCCTTAATCTTTCTTCTTCTTTCTTGTGTTGATGTTCATCAGGCGTGATTTCTGATGACATTTTTGGAGGCTATAATATAATATATTGGAGAAAGAAGATTAGTTTTATGGAAGATGAGTAAAACTAAGTGGATGGAGAAGAGAGAAGAGAGAATCCGGCGCTACAAGAAACGGAAAAGCCGGCAAGGGGTTAATTAGTTTATTATAATATATGATCATATTTTGCTTAAAGGTTTGTAACTTGTAATTATAGTACAAGTTTAGTGGATGATGACTAGAGCTGTCTGGATGGTGGCATCACCTCCATTTTTAGTTTATTTTTATTTTTTTTATTTTAATAAGATGATGACAACATTTGGGCCCTCAAATTATGAACAGTTTCGACATTTGGGACATGTAAAACAAATATGAACTAATTGGGCTCATTTGAATAGAATAGTTTCATTTCATTGGCCCATTTATAAGGTGGTGGGCCCACGGTTATCCATCCATTCGGATATGGGCTTACTTCGTATCGTTATTTTGGTTTTTGTTTTTTTGCTGTTTTACTTTTATCTGAGTCCCCACAATTGCAATGTCGATGACTCACTTAACACAAAAAAGATTTTATTTTTCTACTGAACTCTAAAAATAATATCAATTTAAATCAAAAGTCAACACCTCCACTAGTCAACCATAAGGGGCCCAACCAATTATATAAGAGCACTCAATAAATCACATTAAACATTAGTTATGTGTGACAAATTCGACATAGAAAACATTTCCAACTGAATTCAAACTTTGAGAGCATTTGTTTATGCACGACCTTTTGCTTCACCAACTGCATCACTTCTTCTTGCAAGGAAAGAGTTTGAGAAGCAAAGTGGAATTGCAACAATTTAATGATGGCCGACAAAAGAAATCTTTAGAGCGAAGCATAATAGATAGACGGATACCTAATTTAATCTTACCATGTTTAATTAGGCGCCTCCCCACCCATCTTATGGTATTTATGTTTGTTTGTTTTTTTTAACACTTGTGGTAATTATACATGTTTGGGTCACTTAATCGTTTCATTCTTGAACATAACTAATTTCACCAGATGATATTAAATTATTTATCAACATTTATATCGATAAGTTTATTTGATTTAAATAGTAAAATTACATGAATGTCAACACCTGAAATTTGAACATGTTAATTGAAGCAGAAAAGGGATGGGGAAGACAGGGATCAGGTTCATGCATGTTCATGGTTCACCGCCCCCACACATGCATGTTAAACACAAGACATCTATATTATTATTATTTTAAATAAATATATAAATAAGATTGAGAAATAAAGATTTGCACGTGACGGAGTAAGAAACAAACGTGCAACCCATGTGCCTAGTTTTCGGGCCCACGGCCCATTTCCCCCACCGGAAGAGAATCTTGGTCAAAATATTCATTTATGAAACGAATATATTTGCCTTCAAAATCAAACCCCTCATTTTCTACTAAAAAATATATTTATAAATTATTAAATTAGTTTTGTATAGTTTATTTAATTTTATTCTCTTGAAATTGGAAATATTTAATTTGCCAGCTCCTAATTAACATAAATCCCAGAAAATAAATTGCCATGAGAGAAAGTCTAAACTTATGCAGAGACTGGTTTTTACTAAATTAATTAGTAGACTACACCTTTGAGAAGCAATCATTCACCACAAATTCCACACACTAATCTCACCTAACATTTCAAATAGAAAATAAAATAAAAAATGAAAAAAAGGCACACAACACATGTAGTAATGTAGACTGTAGGGGTAATATTGCACATATCCCCATGTATATTACAGAGAGAAAGAGAGAGAGAAGGGCCATATTGTAATTGATTGGTGTCGATCGGTTATCAGTGGTGGGGCGGCGGTAGATGGGCGGCGGCGGCGGGCTTGCACTGATAACACTTAGCAAAGAGGCCAAACGTGTCAACTTGCCGAACGAAATTGGTAACGCTAGCCCACCCTCCGAACCCGAAACCCACAACAAATACCCATATAACGATGAAGCTGTTTATCGCATACATGGCTGTCCAGCTTGGCATGAATGGTGGTGGCTTCTCAGCAGCATTCTGCATTTATTTTTCACCATTGTAAATAAATAAAATCACCAATTTATAAAAATATATCTTAAATCTAGTAAAAGAAAGCCAGCTCATATATACCGGACATATTAGTTAATACAAAATATCTAGACACTGTAGCATGTAACTAAACCGAAAATGACTTGCCAGTTGCCACCTTATATACATTCTGGTCTTAACAAAATTTCCAAATCCATGCATTTAATGCCACTGTCGTCTGCTTAACGATTTTTCTTTATAGCAATATAATTGATTAATGGAGTTAAATGGTGAAAAGTAAAATAAAAAATTATTAACTAACTGAAATTACCTTGCGAGCAGCGGCTTTTCTATAAGTAAGCATATGGGCGAGGGCAGGGATTATGTAGACAGTGAAACTCACTAGAAGGGCACCAACTGCCGAATTTATAGGCCCGAAAAACGGGAATATAATGGCTAAGAACCATATTGGAATCACCACAGGCAGCCTTGCTAACGCCCTCAGGCATATGCTTTTCGTGTCGTGCATCCCGATTACTTTCTCCCACACAAAGTAGAGCGGCGTACATGCAAACCCGAACGTGATAAACTGTAATTACCATCAAATTATATGATATTAGTACAACTAATTTGAACTCGAAATTACTAGAAATGAAATTAATTAATAGAAGACCTGGTGGATAAGCATAAGTACAACGGCAGCATCGCGCCACGCGGACTTTGGGAGGAGGGAAAACGCGTTGGAGTGGTTGAGGAGTTGATCTCCAAAAGCCCAATAAACAGCTGAAGCTGATGGGATTGTTAGAGTGAATACATATAGTGTGGCCAACAAGTATATGTACTTGAATTTTTGGGGTTTCCACATTGCATGCATTATTTCCCTGTTTTTTTTTTAAATTAAAAAAAAAAAGCAGAAAAAAAAGGAAATAATCAGACCATAATTAAGTAATGGGATTAATGCACTGTAATAATTAATAACAAGTTAGTAATCATGGATATAAGAATCTAAATAGTACAGTAGTACACTGTACAATTCATTTTACAACTGGAAATATTGTGCAATTACTGTGTGATAATATATATATGCAAAAGTAGTAGTAGCAGAGATGGGGCAGTGGGAGCTTTAAAATGTAGTGCGTTTAATGTCTAAACTGCCCTCAGGGTACATCATGTACTTTTGTTACAATAAGAACATGAATAATCTACAGACACTTAAGACAAGATGAACACAAAGTTTGATCATGTGGCATTCATTGGCAGGAATTTGAAGTTAGTGATGTTGAGTGTAGAGAAAGATGCAGTTAGTTAGAGTGGGGATAATGTTTAATATTTGTTAATATTTTAATTTATTTGGGGGTTTCTTTTTGGTAATAAAAAAATAAAAAGAAAAGTAGTTCCTATAAATTATAATTATGTCTGTTATTCACAACCCACAAGGTGGCCGGCAAAAGCTGCAATAGAAGCGGAGAAGAAGCAGAAGAAAAATAAAGAAGATAATATATTTCTACTAAATCAATAATTATTAAGCAAAATATATATTTTTTTTTTAAAAAAAAAGGAAAAATAAATAAAAAAAAGAAAAAAAAGGAAGAAAAGCTTACACAGTAACAGCATGGCCACCAAATGTATAGAGTATATTAGTGGCGCCGGTGAAGTAGAGTACAAGCTTTTTAGGACCGGAGTGTTGTACATCTTCAGCCTGTTAATTTATAATATTAAATCATAATTAATATAAATAATAATTTAAAAAACAAAAAAAAAAAAAAGTAGGTACGATCGAGGTACCTGGCCGTGAACAAGGGCAGCAACGGTCATGTACCAGGCGGTATAAGTAGTCATACCAAGTCCTAAAAAGGACCAAATCCGGTAATTGTGAAAAGAGGGTATGAAGACTGTGGTGGCGCAGCATGCTCCAAATATATATGTCCATGTCCTCTTATCCAGGTGGTCATTTATGTAGTATATGTTACTGCATGTTGTTCAATTTGTCATTACACAAATTCATCAATCAATATT